TTTGTAAAATGATGGGAAGCATTCCCAAGGGCCACAAATTCCCTCAGAAATATGTATCTTCACACAGACACCATATTTAGTCATAAGATTAGTGTACCTTGTGTAAAATTCTTCACCAATACGGTACATATTATAATGTTGCAAGTAGCTAACAAACAGTGGATGCTAATTATTGTTTCTTTCAGTTTGGTTGTCTGAAGGTCTTGGCTTCCTCTTCTCTATGATCTCCCTTGTCCCCCATGTTGTTTTTTTGAGTTTTCTCGCTTTATCTCTCACCTCTGACCTTTCCTTTCCGGTAGTAGATGGAATATCCAACTCCTGAAACAGAGCACACACTGAAATGAAATTCAACTATGGAAGTTAACTGAGGCATGCATTCTCCTTACGTGGTGAGAAGGTGGAGTAACTGGCTCCACAAGGTTTCCTCTCAGCAGCTCAATCACTTTCCCATAGTCTCTGGGTCCATTGTAGCTGCCTCTGCAGTCTATGGACAATTCAGGCATGAGGGCAGTTTCTTGGTCTGCTGACTTGACTTCAGCCATCTCAATAGCCGTCCATCCCATTCTGAGGGAGGTAGGGAGGGAGGGGGCAAAGCTTTAACACAAAATGCTAACTATCTCAGACCTTGTCTTTGAGGTGAACATTAGCTCCTGCTTTGATGAGAGCATACGTGGTCGCCAAGTCTCCGTTCTCAGCAGAGAAGTGAAGAGCTGACCATCCTCCGGCCTGGAGAAAAGATACAGTTGCACATTGCAATCCCAAATGTTATGATCACTGTATCGAGCACATAATAGGCAACCCACGTTCTCCTGAATGTTAACATCGATGTGCTTTCCTTCCAGTAGAATGTTTGTCAGAACAGAATCCCCCATCATGGTAGCAAACATGAGAGGGGTAAGGCCAACCTGTGGTGGAGTGTCAATAGTCAGTGGCAGCTCCTGAGTGATTTGTACAGGAGTCACGCGCAATTTTCCACGTGCCATCACTATATATAGAGCGTCTACCGATGCTCTAATAAGCTGCATGATAGTCATGTGTTTGCTCTCCTCCCTTCATAACATTTTTTACATATGCACCTGAAGGTACAGCTATTGAGCGTTATGTCACAATCAATACGATTGGCTTAAAGTTCTGCATAACCATAAACCTGACGTTGGATATCAGAACCTTGTCCACATGGGAATACAAGAGAGGAATGAATGCTATATACGTGAAATTAGACGGCCTCTATAATCTAAGCACAAAATATAACAGTGTGTTTAAATTTGCGGAACATCTTATTTGTGGTGTATTGTGTAATGTTGTATATCTGTATGCATGTCTGGTTATGTTGTCATAGGTCACGTACGTAATGTCCATGCTTATAAGCCAGTGATTTGTACTCATCGAGAGTCAGAGTCGGGTGTATGTGTATCGAGCACGCTAAAGATATTAGTTTGTTCGGTGGAGTACAAAAATCCTGCAAATAACACAATACAAATTCATCAACACGATATTTGAATGTAGTCTTCGTTTGAGATGCTTTTGCTGCGCTCGAGTCAGTATGGCACACACAACAACTACTGTAACCCTCGCTGCGCATGCGCGCCGAGAATTAATAATGCTCCAAATCACTAAATTGAAACACATACGTACTATGGGATAAGAAGCTGGAATGCTAAGACAAGCTCTTGTTGCATAATTATGCACCTTAATAAAATAACTGTGAGGTGTGAACTGTAGGTGTGTAGCTAATGTTTGGTCCGTTGCTGATTAGTACTGCTAAGCTCTTCCACTGCTTCCAACCATACAACTTGGACTGTAATGTGAAAACAGTAACTGTACATGGTTCTGGAGGTTGAGGTTGCTCCCAGCCCTCACCAGCTCCCTCAGAGCATCTGCGTCTTCTTGCCATACAGCATGGATGACTGCAGAGGCCCCTCCCTGTTGGGAGAGTAAAATTGAAGGACATGGATTGCTTCAAAATACAGCGGATCCTCCGAGAAGCGGAGAACCTCCAAGAAGCAGGCAAAGACTGAGACTACCGTAGAAACAACTGTGAGACAGACTCCCTGTACCTTCCAGCTTTAGATAAAAAAACACCAACCAATCTAATTGAACTCAGCCCATGAAAAAACATGTTTATAGCATACTAGCTAAAAGAATAATGTGAGAGAAAAAGAAAGAATCCTTAAACCACCCCACCCAAATTAATTGACACATAGAAAAATATAAAAACTCTGAAACTTACTCAGTACGACGATGCAACTTAGAAAAAACATATACACGTGTAAGAAACAATATATAAAATAGAATTGTCAGACAATAACATATAAACAGAAATAGAGAGGCAGGACCATGGGTGCCCAGCCTTGAGAACCGGGGCGGTATGTTAAAGAGTCTTTTATGGGCCCAACTCTCCCTACACACCCAGTGTCCCACCCTTACTATCCTTACACATAGTTATACAAGTAAATAAAAAATTCTGCGAATTAAAAAAGTGTGGAATATAGGGATGCCATAAAAAGCAAGGAGACAAGACAGGGATGACCTAGTGTATGTGATGCAGTAGTAGAATGGATGATGGTTACATCTTCAAACTTACATTGCTTGCTCGTGTAAATCTTCCTCCACACAAGCCCTATATTGTCGCCACTTTTCTCACAACATGAATTTGTTTAGTGTGAGGACAATGGTGAGGCTGAGACACATCGATCCACTCGTGCATAAGAAACGAGTCATAGCTGCACATCATACAATAGAGATCACTCGTGCTAGCAAGAGATTTTAATGACAGTGCATTTAGCCGCCACTCTTTAGTCGAGTCCCCTCTCTCAAGAATAAGGGATTCTCTGGCGGGCCATGAACACAGCATTGTAAAACTCATCGTTTGTTGAGCAAACATAGAAGTCTTAGACTGCACACAATGCAGTCACACCCAAAAACTGAGGAGCTGTCAGAGAGGGCAACACCTGTGCATCACGTGCTTAAGAGATGAGTCATTCTATGAGGGAGCACAGTCATGCTTTGCGACAATATAGGGCTTGTGTGGAGGAAGATTTACACGAGCAAGCAATGTAAGTTTGAAGATGTAACCATCATCCATTCTACTACTGCATCACATACACTAGGTCATCCCTGTCTTGTCTCCTTGCTTTTTATGGCATCCCTATATTCCACACTTTTTTAATTCGCAGAATTTTTTATTTACTTGTCTCCTTTCCTTTTTTTACGGCATGCACATGCATTGGGGCATAATGCCCATATAAAAAGTAACATGTATTTATTGCCTCGGTCTGTTAGTCGTCATCTACATTTTTCAAACTAGATAAGTGTACAAAGTTATAGGAAACTCCATTTTGCCTTGTTACGACTAAGTTTTGAGTCACCTAATTTGTTGTTGGTTACCCAATGCATACTCCTCTGTCCCCTGGAAAATAATTATCTGGTGAATGTGGGGATGGAGGCATAAGGAGTCAGGGTGAGGTGAAGCTGCTTTTTTCCTGTTTGATGGTCACAGAATCATGAGCAAGGGCTGTAGTCTCATTCCCAGTCCCTCATGTGCACCAAAAAGAGGGTATGGTTTGTAACGTCTGATTTCTTGGTTGTGCTGACTCATCATGTGTATATAAACATGGCATGATAATCATGTGGTACTGGTATCGTTTGCATACACCTGCATGTGCCGAGAGAGACCGCTACCTTTAGCACAACTAACCTACTCTTTCGTGCCGGAGCACATGCACGAGACTAGGGCTCACATGCACACAAGCAGTTCAAAAGTCATTCCACTGTGTTTGCTGTTTTGTTTTGTGTGTCTGTGAGCTGCTAGAAGTTTCTGCACACTCTGTAGGTTGAAGCTGAGTGGGCTGTTGCTCCATGCACTTACAGGGTGTCACTGGGGGACTATGTAGGTTAGGGCGTCTGGGTGGTAAATAAAACAGACACCATCAATAATATCTCATGACTGTATGTTGCAGAAGCCCATCCATTTTTTTGCTCTATAGACTCGTTCCATTCTATCCTTCCATTCTGGATAGAAGGGAAATAGTCCATAAAGTGAATGGAAGTAGTCTGTAAAATGAAAGTTTTTGTAGAATGGAAATTGCTCTAATAGTCAATTACGGCTCCTAGATGCTTCATCATTCTGTGCATATTGGTCTAACCCATCCCATGCTGTGCAACTCATTGAGTGAGGTAACCTCCATGGGTGGGTTTCTTCGCATATGTCTTCACTGTTTCTTTGCTTTGTGTGGGATGCTGTTGGAGAGTGGGAATGGTGGATGTCATATACGTATGTATTTGTAGTGTGTGCATATATATACACATCCTACCAACTCACTGGTAAAATTACTCTGCCAACATAACAAGCACAGCAAACATTCAAAAATGCCCTCTGCAGCAAACATTTAAAAAAATGAATCTAGGTTACTTACTGGAGTTGTAAAAACAAGGTAGAATGACTCAGTAAACACATGGTAGAAAAATATAGAATGACTTATAATTACTTGTAGCGGTAAAAATGTGGTAGAAAAATAGAATATTACTTACGCAGTAAAAACGTGGTGCACTATCGTGGTTCCTATTAGTGCCGCCCCACGTAGTGTACATGGTAAATTATGCAGTAACTGTACGATAGCACAGTCACGAAAACACATGTAGAGTATGATACATGATACATATACACAAACACAGATGGTAGAAAAATGAAATTGGTAGCATTGTAGAAAAATAGAATAATAGAATCTAGCTTACTTACTGGAGTGGTAAAAACATGGTCTTTATACTGAAATCATGTGGCTCTGATGGCCTGACAAATACATTTTACTTGTCACATCCCTTTGGCTATGTTGCCACCTTTTCTGTGTTTGATAATTGTCATTAGTCAGTGTGAAGCAATATTTCATGTGTGGGCATGTTTTAAAGTATCTAGAAATGTAAACAGCCAGCTAACTGGCTCTGACTGGGTGGACTCCACCAGTTGCTAGGATGCAGCACAATGAACAATTAGCCTTGGTGGGTTTGTGATAAAAATCTGAATGTAAAACAGTCAGCTAACTTGGGTGGAATCCTTCAGTTGCGTTGTGAGGCGCAGGGAATTCTACCTCCTAGGCTCTTGCTGGCTGAGCACACTAATGATTTATGTCAGAGTTTTGATGTGTGTACTGAAGGAGATTTGGGAGGTCTTAGACAAGGTGTCATGACACCTCACAAGTTACACAACTCCCTTAAAACTCATACTTCATTTCCTCTCAACAATCCCTATAATGTATTCGCTAAGGTGAGGGGAACTGGCTTTAGTACTTATAATCCAGTATGCTATGGCTCTCCTTCACTTCTGAGGTACAAGGATACCTCTCTAGTAAGGACACCTTTTCTGTCCCTAACAACAACTCTTAAGGTGTGCATTTTAACCCCTCAATTATGTACACCTCCCTAAAAAGCTCACTGTCTTCCATCCTGTTGGTCTCTATATTAGAGGGTTCCATTTGTAATAACTGTCATCATGATCAATAGTGTCATTCCTAGTTATTATACACACTTATCTATACTCACCTTCATATTGCGCTCTCACACACACACACCAATTTGTAGCCTGAGATAGATAGATAAAGATGAGAGCATGGCTCTACACATTGTAGATGAAGAAAGATGAGTCAGCTGTAAACCTGGTTAGCCAATGTTTGTGTGAACAGGTTCAATGTTGTGGTATAAACAAAATCAGTGGGGCCAGCTGATGAGTCCTCCCACTATAAAAATAATGGACGAAAACCATCTCTGGGGATTATCCCCCCTAATATAGAGATGGTTCCTGGCCCCTTCCCCTACTGTAGTATACTTATGACACACTACAGGTATTGCCATATACCTCATTGCTGTGTGACTCTCTTCGTGTCTCTCCCCAAATACACCACACCACTGTAACTGATTGGTATAATGAAGTGGTTCATATGACAGTATAACACAACAATGTATATACTGTTATGAAGGTTGACTGCATATGAACCAAGCTGTAAAAACGCAGGGTATGACAATATTATGTTTCCTCCCTTGCAGGAACCTTGTGTATATTATACCTCCTTCTGTATTCTCACTGGTAGTTACAATTACCCATGCAGTGGACATGGCAAGCATCAACAAAAATCAGCATCTATCACAGCATTCAACTGTTCACATTGATATTGATAGATGGACAGCCTGTACATTGCTGCCTGGCATGTGACTACTAGTGGTGGAATATGTGTGTAACAATAAACATTCTGGCACATTTGCTTGTTAATTGACATTTCAGTTCATGATCTCCACTATCAACACAGAAGCAATTGCTAAGTACATAACAATTGGACTTGTGTTGGTCATATTTGTTTGTAAACAATGTTGTTTACAGTAAGTAAACAACAACAAATAGCCCCAGGCAATACATTATGATGGGGATAAACGAGGCAGCATAACTCATAAACAATAACAGCTATGTAAATAAACATATGTATTACATCACCAACAAACAAAAACACAACAATACAAGTTTGTGTAATAGCCTCAGGCAATGTATGCTGATATTCACTATTTGAAAGCACATATGGACATGAAACGTGGTAAGCATGTGTTTTCATCCTCACCATAATTATGATTACATGTTTGCAACAACAAATAGCCTCAGACATGTTTCTTCCAAACTTGCTAATAGTAGAAGACATAGACATCAAACTTGGTACACATGTGTATTGCATCCTTACCATTACATAACATGTTTACAAATAGCCTCAGGCATAATAATTTAATTTTTCAGGGGCTTGCCCCCCTCCTACTTAGAGACATGTACACAAGTGTGTATAAAACTGAGAGGAGACTAGTAAATACAACATTCTACGAATGGCTTGGGGAATATAACACACCTCAAAATATGGACGTTATATGCTTCATGTCCCATCCCTATCTTGTCTCCCTTCCTTTTTATGCCATCCCTATATTCCCTCTACTCATAGAAATTTTTATTTACAACGCGATTTACATAGATGCTGAACGACAACATGTCTGTAAGCAACACAAACAGCCTCTTGGCATAACGGGCTCAGGTTTTCAGTTGCATGACCTAAATAGTGATTTCAATGGTATGGGTAGTCACTGGTATTGCCAAGCCTCATGAATGAATAAATTTCGGACCTACAGAAAATTAAAACATATATTCGAATTGGAACCTTACCTTCTAAATACCGTATTTCCTCGAATAAACGCCGCACTTCGAATAGTAGCCGCCCTCGAATAGACGCCGCACGTAACGTCCGCACGGTGTAATAGTGGCCGCCCTCGAATAGCATATAGCCGCATTTAAAAGAGCGGGGCTATATTATACGTACGTGGAAAAAGGTTGCTCGCGTTATAATACGGCATGGAAAAAATTGTAGCTGTACTAGTACTTGTTCTGATGGTCACTGCAAGTGGTTACACCTCGGAGGACTCCAAGTGTCTGGCGTGCATCTTTGTCGACCCCGAGAGTGGAAGTGATAATTCTTCGTGCATTGCCAAGAGCGCCATTCACTCAACTGCTCACTGTAAGACTCTGAGCTATGTCCTTAAAAATACTCTCCCCCTCAATGGAACGAGTATCGTTCTTCGTGGAGGATATCACCAACTTGACCAAACAGTTACTGTGGCTAATGTGGAAAGCATCACAATACGAAGTGCTGAAAATGCTGTTTCCATCATAAAATGCAGGCATGCAGCCAATTCTGATGACAGTGGATCTGGTTTAGTCTTTGCATCTGTGAAAAATCTCAGATTTTCTAACGTTCATTTTGAAGGTTGTGGGACTCTTCAGTACAGCACAACACTGAGAAACAATGAGAATACAAAATCTCGTTCTGCAGTGTATCTCATTAACTGTACTAATGTTTTTTTCAGCGAGTGCAAGTTTTACTGGAACATTGGTAGAGCACTGTCCTTGTATGATGTTACTGGTCACATTGAACTGACAAGAAGTGAGTTTATCGGAAACAGTGTTATCGATAGAGAGAGGAAAGTGTACTTTGGTGGAGGCAGTATCTACATTGAGTTTACGTACTACTCACCTGGATTCCCAGACTGTGATAAACATAGCAATACTCGCAACAGCAACAGCAGATACTTCATAAGAGATTGCCTTTTGAAAGCAATGTGGCCACGAGTGGTGAGATCTCAGGGCAGGTCCACATTGTTCAGTTTAGAGTCCTTGCTGGTAATGACGGCAATAATTTCGGCGAAGGAGGTGGAATTAATATCACACCTAAAGGCACCAGTTCCAACAACTCAATTGTGGTACAGAACTGCACATTTCGTAATAATACTGCTACATATGGAGGTGCAATCGGAGTTATATTTCAGGACCTGTGTAGTGAAACAACATTGCACGTAAAGAAATGTAATTTTCACAACAATTATGCTTGGGAAAGGGGAGGTGGTGCTCTGCAATTAGGATATGTAAACACTGAAAAAGTTGCTAACAATCAGATCATTGTTGAGGACTCTGAATTTATTGGCAACTCAGCTGGCTGGGGAGGTGCGGCTGCCTTTTTTGTAAGTCGAGCAAGATTTGATGTAAAAAACAGCATATCGTTCTTCAACTGCACGTTTATCGGAAATTCAGCATCGATTGGGGCAGCCATGCTACTAAAGCCAGAAGCTAGGGATTCTATATACGATGGCTACGTGCCAACCCCATTTCTCCAAAACTGCACTTTTGTTAACAATGAAGTTGTTTTCACAGCAGCATTGCTCAATATTGCTAATGACGAGGTATCTAAACATGTACTTCAGTCTGGTACCATAGACATTGAGTCTATTACTATTGATCTCTCTGAAATGATCACCCTAGTTGGCAATAGAGGAAGTGCCGTAACCGCAAAGTCGGCACAAGTCAATATTTTAAGTAACACCAAAGTAGAGTTTGTTAACAACACTGCCACTAATGGTGGAGCAATGGCTCTACTTGGTTTCTCGGTCCTGGAGCTCCACCCTGGGTCTCACGTGATGTTTGAATCAAATCATGCCAGTGAACTAGGTGGAGCTGTGTATGCCACTTCACCTCATCAAACTGAGTTCATATTCTCCCATAAGTGCTTCATTTCCTATCTCCACTTTCCAAACCCGAATAATTGGAACACGTCACTCACCTTCATCAACAATACAGCAAAGTTTGGTTTTGCCATCTTCACTGACTCACTACTCCCATGTGCTAAATATGTTGGCAATGTTTCAACTGAGATCAAACAGGCACTTCAGTGGGAACCTTTTGAGTTTACGTCAGGTATTGAGCAATACACAATAGCAACCAGCCCCGCAGGAATAACATTTTCTTTACCACTTGAAATAGCACCAGGACAGAGGGTGGATATACACCCACTGGCAGTTGATGACCTCGGACAAACAATCCCCACTGGCTACCAGGTTTTTCTGGAGAGTGACATGGGAGCAACCACAAACAACTATCTCTCTGACGACAGCTTCTTGCAGATTAAGGGAGAGCCAGGAACAGTGTTCAATCTCACACTTCAAACGCAAAACACTCGGCTAGTTTCTGTTACGATGCCTGGTCGACTGGGTGCATGTCCACTCGGTTTCGCACTAGAGAACCGTGAATGTGTCTGCTCCACAAGCACACTCGACAAAAAGCTTGTTGGGGTTGCAGAGTGTGACCTGTCGAGTTCTCGGCATTTCTCCTGCAGGGTTATGGGCAGGGTGTGTGAATGGGGGAAACACGGCCACCGGCTACTGTCCTCCTGATTACTGCAACTATCGAAATGCTCGAGTATTCATTAAAACAGTAGCTCCTACATCATGTGCTGAAGTTGATAGCGGGCGACTGTGTACTGCACACAGAAAAGGGAACCAGTCTGTGGTGAGTGCGAGGAGGGATACTCGTTCTTTTCCACTCAGAACGCTTGGTTGCAATAAATGCTCGTATGGTGCCGTTGGACTACTGTTTACGTTTTGGCAGAGCTATTTCCATTAGTGCTTGTGTGGCCATCATTATGATGATGAAGTGAAACTCACATCAGGACTAATGCAGAGCATATGCTTTTTGCTCAGACAATCACATTCATCAACCAAAACCCCATCATTGATAGCTCTCTCTGAAACCAGCCATATATTTCTTGAGGATCCACTCTTTTCTTCTCGGATTCCTCAGTCTTCGATTCTTTACATCGACAAACCCTCTTTCTGCCTCTGGAAGGGAGCACTGTACTTCAGAATCTCACATTCAACTATGTTACAATCTTGTCGGCCCTCCTGCTCCTCGGCCTGTACATACTCCTTGTCAATAACTTTCACTTCAAATACCAGGAAAACAAAGCAAAAGCCTGCTTTGGAAAAATGACCCAGATCATAAAAGAGAAGAACCTATTCAAGAATTCCACCGTTCATGGCATTTCGACATTCCTGCTTCTGTCCTATACTCAGTACACAGTGACTTCATTTCAGATTCTGTCCAGACTCACTCTGTATGGAGAGGGAGAGGGAGAATTAGGTTCAGTTGTTCGCCTACAGGGGAATGTTGACTACTTTGGACCCAACCACCTCCCATATGCCATTCCAGCATTGCTAGTGTTGACATTCCTCTCTCTTCCTCCCACCTCTTCTGCTCATCTCTTACCCACTGCTCTGAGGGTCAAAGCAAAACTGAGACGTAGTAATGCGCAGAAATGAAAACGCCAACTCTGTGGCCAATCGTAAACTTCTACCCTCATGACTCATTCCAGGGATGTGTTCAGAGACAACTGCCGTATGTTTGCTGGTCTCTTATTCCTGTGGAAATTGTTCTGAGTAGCATTTTTGCTTTCTCCACAAATTTAACGGAATTTTTTCTCTAACTGACATAGCACTTCTAAGTTTTCTCACTATTCACATGTTGGCTCGACCCTACAAACGAAGGATCTACAATATGATAGACCCTCTCATGATTGTGAACATGACGATAATCAATTCGCTGTCTTGGTTTGTCTATGCAATTTCAACTGAGAGCAAACTAGTGCTACTGCGGAGGGAGTTACTGCTCTCAAGCTCATGTTAATGTATCTACCAGTTGCCCTACTAGCTGCATATGTACTGTTACTGCTCTTTCGAAAGACTGGTGTGATTCGTAACAAGTTTCAGTTAGGGTCTTCAGAGGAAGGTAATTATGGCCGTAAAGTGTCGAGCAAAAAGGGGGCCAACAGAGAGGCGCGTGCATGATGAAGATCTGTTTGCTCGTGCTGAGGAAGTGAAATGTCCAGCTCTTATTCTGGCTAGTGTAAAGGAAGGATTTACACTCGAAACAACTGAATGTCGTACCATGAGTGAAGTTGTTACTGATGAGACCAATGGTGAACGCCAGTAGCATCGTACATATAATATACAAACCCATTCAGTTCATGGACTTACAACATTGTATTTGGGTATCATGTTGTTTTCTGTTGTAGAATGAACGAGAATTATAAAGAAAAACTAAGTAACGAAACTATGAGCAAGCGGGCGCTCAAAACATGCTTGTTTGTGGAGACTGTACTGTAAACACAAGCACACCCATGATAGGGGTGAGGACTAAATACTAAATACTTACTAAGTCACAGACAGATTGCTTCTCTCTTCTTCACTGAATTCTGCATGCCGGCAATTTCTGACCTACCGGTTTTGATCGCAGTAACTGTTTAAACAGCCACGTTCCCTAACGTACCTAGCCTTGGTAGCTACTGCTGTTAGTGTTTTTCTACAAGGTAAAATTATAGCATGCAGCAGGTGTGTTTGGATGTCAAAGCTTTTTGTTACAAAATAAATTGTTATGTAAGTATCTTGGTGCTTGGCTTTACGTAAAATTTGTCTCCTATAAACATAATCATGGATACGCAATATCCCTAGATAAGTATGTGAAATTACTCCAGTTACATACAGTCCACACATGGTCCAGGAGGAAACAAGAAATAACTATTTCCCAAAGATAAATGGTGCAGCTGTTGTCCCAGTGCCAGTCTCATAGATTGCCATAGGAGGGATAGACATGGCCAGATGAATGGCTGTAACCTTTCAGAATGCAGATCTCTTGTGCGTGAAAGCAAACCGGGAAATAGTGTAAAACCAGAAGAGTGTGAGACAAAAAATGTGTATATAGCTTTTTCATTTACGTGATGTAGCTAATAAGTCTTAGCTAACTTAGTGTTGTCACTACTTGCTGCATAACACGGACAGTAGCTAAGCAGTAGTCCCTTTTTTAATTTTTTATAAAACATTAATGCACTATGCAATGGCAATACATGTATTAGTGGTAAACACTATGATAGAACATGTACTCATGTGATAAGGAGTAAGGGGAAAAATTGATGATAGAGATGTGGCGAGGTTACAGAGGGAGCTAAAGAATTCCACATGTGCCTTGTGAACACAGCAACAGCATTTATTTGTCTCCCTCGCACTATTAAAATTAACACACAAATTTCTGGTAGCTATTATGGCATGAACAAGAAGTGTGGTGGCCACTCTCACCTTTTGTACTTTGGCAAAAAAAACATCAATGCAAATGATTGTCCTCTGGTAGTCATGTGTTGTGCACGCAATGGCTTTCTAAAGGTAAACAGCATATATAGCTACAAACTGTAGTTCTGGGAATCTGATGTAGAGCTGTGCATTCCGCGAAGGAGCTATGTGCCCATACAGAGCAAGTATATAGAACGTTCATGCAACAAGTCATTGTCTGCTGAATCGCTCATGCGTGCGGACGTACGTACGCATGAGTCGGTCACGTTAAGAATGTCAATTAGTCACGCTTAGAGAATGCCAATTAGTGACGTTTAGGGAATGTCAATTAGTGACCAAAGGAAGTGTAACCTCCGTCATTCGTAGGAAATATAGCTTCCGCCGTACGCGCGCAGATTCTTAGGAAGTCTGGCTTCGCGCGCAGTCAGTAGAGCGCGCGCACGAGCAGCCTCAGTCGGACTGTTTACGCATTGGCTGGCAGGCGCGAGGCGAAATATGCCCGTGCGCATTCCTGTCTGTGTATACCGTTGATAGTAAACACCCCCTTACTGCCCACCGTCTGCTAATGGAGCCAGACTTTCAGTGTGGCAGTGTCATTGATGGTTTTGGTTGATGTTTTGTGTTCAGGGACCTCCCGCAAGTGTCTTTAGTGCATTGTACAGGACATACATATCGCACATTTGCGTCCTTGAGCGCTCGCGTCGCCAATAAAAGCCGAGCAAAGACGAAGCTTTGATTAGTTGGAGGAAAAACTGTTCAGTGCTGTGAGTACCTAGCTATGTGGGCAGTAATAGCCATCACTGTTTATTGGTCCTTGAGTATCTCAACAGTCTCAGCCTGCACAGACTGTATCATCGTTAACAGCAAAACTGGACACTGATAATTCTTCATGCCTGGAGGAAACATCAACGTTTTACTGCAGGACACTTGGATATGTTCTCACTAATGCTGCCTCTCTCAATAACACTGAAATAATCTTGTCTGGAGACCACTCCATCACCCAGACTCTGACAGTGTTTCGAGTAGAAGGTCTCACGATACGAGGAGGTGGAAAAGTGTCTTCCATTATTACATGCACCCATTCATCCCATGAGAATACCCAGGGATGTGGGCTGCTAATAAACTCTGCCAAAAGGGTAAGAGTAATCAATGTCATTTTTGAAAGCTGCGGAACGCTTCAGTTCAGTACGACAGTAAGAAACTATAGAAATGTTGAGTATCGTTCTGCTGTCTACATCATCAACAGCACGGATATTCAGTTCATTGAAACAGGTTTCCACAAGAGCATTGGCAGAGGAATATCCATGCATGATGTGGATGGTAATGTTGAAATACGTGACAGTTCATTTAAGGAAAACATGGTCCTGCCAAATGATACTTTGGTGTTTGGTGGAGGAAGCATTTATATTGAATTCACTTACTGTTCGCCAGGCTACTCAAGATGTGATCCTGATTCTAACACTCACAATAAGAACAGCAGGTACTTGATCGAGGGATGTGTGTTTGAAGGCAATAGAGCCTCAAAATAAAGAAGTCACACAACAGGCACACATTGTCCAGTTCCGCATCTTGCCAGGTAGCGATGGCAATAATGCAGGCCAAGGAGGTGGGCTTCATGTCATTATCAAGGGTTCAAGTTTCAATAACACGGTGATAGTTCAGAACTGTACCTTTCACAACAATTCAGCTCTCTGGGGAGGAGGAATTGATGCAATATTTCTGGACAGGGCTAGCAACAACACTTTTCAAGTTAACCAATGTTTTTTCAGTAATAATCGTGCCCCAGATAGAGGTGGGGGTGCCCTGCAGTTAGGATTTTTCGGAACTGAAGGCATAACTCAGAACAGTATTGTTGTGGAAAATACGAAATTTGTCGAAAATTCTGCAGGGTGGGGAGCTGCTATCGCATTCTTCTCTAGTCGATCAAAAAGCAATTTAAACACCAGATTAACTGTCACTAACTGTGTTTTTGAGAATAATTCGGCACCCATAGGGGCGGCTGTACATCTGAAACCGGAGGCACGACAGTCCATATACGAGGGTCGCACACCAGTTGCAAAGTTTTCTAACTGTAATTTCACTAAGAATAAGGTCCTCTACACAGGATCCTTTCTGAACATCGCTAATGATGAAATATCTCAACATGTTCTGGAGTCTGGAACAGTAGACATTGAATCACTCGAAATAGATTTTTCAAACTACGTTTCGTTCACTGATAACCAAGGTAGTGCCATTGTGGCCAATTCCGCTCAGGTGAACGTGTTGGAGAACACTAGATTATATTTTGTGAATAACACTGCCACAAATGGTGGAGCAATGGCTCTACTTGGTTTCTCGGTCCTGGAGCTCCACCCTGGGTCTCAGGTGCTGTTTGAATCAAATCATGCCAGTGAACTAGGTGGAGCTGTGTATGCCACTTCACCTCATCAAACTGAGTTCATATTCTCCCACAAGTGCTTTATCTCATTCAGAGGCGAAAATTTCAACGACCCTGACAAGTGGAACACGACACTCACATTTGTCAATAATTCTGCAAGGTACGGCTATGTGATCTTCACCGACTCAGTCCTTCCGTGTGTGAAACAGATCGGAGCAATTTATACCAACATATCAACAGCGTTCCAATGGAATTCTTTCCAAATTACTCCAAGTATTGGAGAATACACAATAGCCACCAGTCCAGCTGCCATTAACTTTACTCTCCCACAGGAAATATCCCCAGGAGAAATGATCAGTGTCCATCCAACATCAGTGGATGATCTTAACCAATCCATTCCTATTGCATTCAAAGTCATCCTTGGCAGCTTTGGAGATACAGTTGAAACTAATCCCTTTATTGCTGATGATGGGCATTTGAAAATCAATGGAAAACCTGGAACGCAATTTACCCTTACTCTTCTAACACAAAACACTCGACACGTTTCTTCCACTCAGAGTGGAAGATTGGGGGACTGCCCTCTTGGCTTCGGACTGGTTAACAATTCAGTGTGTGTCTGTTCTGCTAGTTTACCTCACAGAGAGTATGTTGGGGTGATAGGCTGTGACTTCGTCAACTTCCGCGCATTGCTTCAGGTTGGCTACTGGATAGGATGCAGTGAACCAAGCGTGTCGTGACTGGTGTATGTCCTTTGAACTTGTGCAGCTACAAAACCCGTTCAGTGCTGCCCATTTCAAGGACTTGTGACGGTCTGAATGAGGAAACAAAAATCTGTGTTGAAAATAGAAGAGGACAGCTTTGTGGAGAATGTGAAAACGGATACTCTGTTTACGCACATTCTGATAAACTACACTGTGGAAAGTGCCCACACGGAGCAGTGGGGATTCTTGCATTCCTAGCTAGTGAAATTGTTCCACTCTTCTTACTCTTTGTTGGCATAATGGCAATGAAGATAAAGATCACATCAGGATTTGCACAGAGCTTCTTACTGTTTGCGCAGTCATTTTTCCTAATCAACCACGCCCCTTCATTGCGACCACTCTCGGATACCAGTTCGATACTGCTTAGAATCCACACATTTATTATTGGATTCTTTAACTTGTCATTTTTTTATCTGGATGAAATGTCCTTCTGTCTCTGGAGAGGAGCAACTGCACTGGATGTCGTTGCATTTCGCTATGTGTCAACTTTTTCAACCATTCTTTTTCTTGCTATCTTTATTCTCGTAGTTAAGAAAACGAAAACTCACAAACTTGAATCCTCCTGCTTTCTGCTTGCTAGATTTCAAGGAATGATAAAAAAGAAGAAGCTTTTTAAAAACTCCGTTGTTCACGGAATTTCTACATTTCTCATTCTCTCCTACTACCACTACACGACCGCATCATTTGAAATCTTGAATCGAAGTTCACTGAACGCCGAAGGTGGTGTGAAAGTTGGGTCTGTGGTCTTTATCCAAGGTAGTGTTGACTATTTTGGACCCCAACACCTCCCATATGCCATTCCAGCATTGCTAGTGTTGATATTCCTCTCTCTTCCTCCACCTCTTCTGCTCATCTCTTACCCACTGCTCTGGAAGGTCAAAGCAAAACTGAGACGTAGTAATGCGGAAAATGAAAATGACACAACTCTGTGGCCAATTCGTAAACTTCTACCCCTCATTGACTCATTCCAGGGTGTGTTCAGAGACAACTGCCGTATGTTTGCTGGTCTCCTATTCCTGTGGAGACTGATTCTGAGTGCCATCGTTGCATTGTCGACGGATTTGACAGAATTATTCCTCCTGATCGAGATTGCACTTCTCAGCATTCTGACCATCCATGCTCTGGTGAGACCATACAAACAAAGATTGTACAATGTTGTTGATGGAATGATGCTGGCCAACATGGCACTCATTAACTTGCTTAAATGGTATGTGTCAGTGCCATCAACCAGTGACATAAGCAGCCAAGTTGTTGAACTACTTGTCGCGATACAACTATTCCTACTGTATCTTCCTTTGATTTGTGTGGCTGGATACACCGTTTTTCGACTTTTGAAAAGATTTCATGTCATCCCCGATGAGCTAAAGTTTTCCTTGGCTGAAGAAGGAGCATCAATTGCCGGCAATAATGGTGTCAATAGAAAGGAGACATTTAAGGGCAGGAAAACGTGTGCCGATGAGGATCTGTTTAGCCGTGCAGCGGAGCTCAATACTCCACCCAGCAAGAATGTGACATGCAGTGAGGCTGGGATTGAAACCAACAATACCACCATAACAAACCTGGGCACTGACTGAACACAGAGAGTTTTCCGAGATGAGTCCGTTTTCAAGTAGATTTCAACATACAGCAGTAAATACCATGTAATCACCCTTAATTTTAATTTTTGTATTTGCTTGCTTAATCAGGTGCTTTTTGCTGACTTATGTTTATTTGATGCTAATTATGCTTAGTTGTGTGTTTACATAGCCAAGACAGTTACTGCACTGTGACTAACGAATGTTTATATGAAGGGGTCAGAGCCAGAGTGAGCCAACCCTCAATATACAATTCTTGCTGCTTTTCTTTCATTATAGAACAAAAACTGGCAAGAGTTGTATATTGAGGGTTGGCTCACTCTGGCTCTGACCCCTTCATAGTAAGTCTCTTCTACAGGTGTATTTGTGTCTGGCTTGGGGTGTATAGCTAGCTAGCAGAACTTGCACAATGCTTCTTTCCAAGGGAATGCACAGTGAGTTCCAACCCTTCGGCATCGTGATAAAGTAAAAGCAGAAATGGCTCATTTCGACATATTATTATTGTGGTCGAAGATGTAAGGATCAGGAATCTCTTTCAAAATTGCCCAGTTTTGGGCAGCTCTGTTTACTCTTTTCTTATGGGTGGAGCAAGTCCATCTAGCCGTTCTTCTGCGCGATTTCCCTCCTAGTATGCAAGAGGAATATAGGGATGTTCACATGTTCCGTGCTACAGCAAACTACATTACATAAAAGCAAAATTTCTTCTGCATGCAACTGTGGGTGAAATGCAAAGCATTTTGACAATGTCATGTGATAATAATAATTATTGTGTGTTATTTGCGAGAAAGAAATCTTTATAAGGGCTGCTTAAAAATGAAACATCGCAAAGTGGGAACCACTGTATATACTTTCAATACTTCCTTCTGGTTTTACGTACTACACAAATGTTAAAAAACGATCAGCAGAAGCTGTGGCTGACAATTATAATAATATGAAAAGCACTAAAGTGCAAACCCTTGGCAAACTGGTATATACCACTAATTGATGGACTGGGCTATTAGCCATGCGTTTAGGGCTAGCAAAGTAGGAGATAGCTTGCGGGAGTCGATACATGCCTTCAAGATACACAGAGCAAGCAGACGTCGAGGTAAGCCTGTGCTAATTTGCATAATGCCTCTTTCACTTGGTTTTTACGCGCAGTTCAAAATCAAGCCAGTGTAGCACTGAACTTTTAGGTATCGATCTTTTGTTGTCTCGTTATGCTTGGTGCAGAAAACATGTTAACAAACAGACAGACATACTAACAGATCAAGTACGGTAACCCATGTGCATGCGCGCCGTTGGTTAAAATTACCATTTATTGTAGTGTATCGCCAATATGTACATCACGTTACCATTATGTTGGGTTATGTAACTTAGGGCACGTGTGTGCGTGCCAGTTTTTTTGCTTCTGTGTAGTTGTCGTGTGTGTCACGAGGTGTTCGTAGAGACAGTGAGCAGCTGCCGTGTGTCGGTAGGCTGTGAATGTTCAGTCTGTGTGGTGTGGGTGCGTGTGTTTGGAATAAATAATATAGCTGTGTTTCTCAAAAAATTGTGTCATCCAAGGATTTACACTTCATTTCCTCTGGTATGGGGGTTTTGTACAGGTGTATTTGCACTTCATTAACCACGGGTGTTGCAATGTTGTTATAGCTGCAATCTCATGGGGCATCATGATTCTTCGTCCATAAACCCATGGCGCCACGTTAACCACGGGTGTGGCAATGTTATTATAGCTGCAATCTCATGGGGCATCATTCTTTCGTCCATAAACCCATGGCGCCACATTGGTATTTCTACAACTAGTGGTAACTAATGGAGTGTTGAGAGCCTTAGTGGGTGTTTGAGTCTATTACTATTGATCTCTCTGAAATGATCACCCTATCTTAGGTATCGATCTTTTGTTGTCTCGTTGTGCTTGGTGGCAGAAAACATGTTAACAAACAGACATACATACTAACAGATCAAGTACGGTAACCCATGTGCATGCGCGCCGTTGGTTAATATTGTAGTGTATCGCACATCACATTACCATTATGTTCGGTTATGTAACTTAGGGCACGTGTGTGCGTGCCAGTTTTTTTTTGCTTCTGTGTAGTTGTCGTGTGTGTCACGAGGTGTTCGTAGAGACAGTGAGCAGCTGCCGTGTGTCGGTAGGCTGTGAATGTTCAGTCCGTGTGATGTGGGTGCGTGTGTTGGGCCAAATAATATAGCTGTGTTTCAAAAAACTGTGTCATCCAAGGATCATTTCCTCTGGTATGGGGGTATTGTACAGGTGTATTTGCACTTCATTAACCACGGGTGCTGCAATGTTGTTATAGCTGCAATCTCATGGGGCATCATGATTCTTTCGTCCATAAACCCATGGCGCCACGTTAACCACGGGTGTGGCAATGTTATTATAGCTGCAATCTCATGGGGCATCATTCTTTCATCCATAAACCCATGGCGCCACGTTAACCACGGGTGTGGCAATGTTATTATAGCTGCAATCTCATGGCTTTCGTCCATAAACCCATGGCGCGACATTGGTATTTCTACAACTAGTGGTAACTAATGGAGTGTTGAGAGCCTTAGTGGGTGTTTTACATCCAATAATGCCTAACATTGGGACTAGTTCGCACACTTTTATATGTAGCTATGGCATGGGGCTATTTTCATTGTGCCCAGAGCTAGCTCAGCATCATTTTTCTCTTGGCATCACATGGTCTAATACCTTCATGTACATAATAAGCTCTTACACGACTGGCACTGGCAGGATACTGGCTTCATTGCGGCGGCCCAATCCGCATACCAGATTGCGAGTTCGGGTTATGGCTCGGTGCTGGCCTTGACCGGCAGGAGTGGGGAGGGGCCTAGGCTCCAAACCACGAAGGTCTGGGCATGGTCAGCAGCACATACCAGTGGCAAAGCCTTGTGGGGATGAATCTCATTAGTTCAGAACCACAAGTGCTGCGCTCCTGGTAGCCTTTATGAGAGAAGTTGAGGTAGCTATGCTCTGCTGATGAGGGCCAACAAGCCCGAAACAGATGCCCAGAGCTCCACATCTTTTTTCTCTTGGCATAACATGGTCTAATACCTTCATGTACATAATAAGCTCTTACACGACCTATCATGGATTCCAAAATCATTGTCATCTCCCTACATATAATGTCCCGGAATTTATAAGCTAGCCAACGTAAGGTGACCATTTCATAGTTCAAACCCTACCGTTAGTCACAGTTTCTTGGTAAGTTTACTAAGCTAGCAAGCTTTGGCTCGACGGGAGGCTCTGCGTTGCGTCCCTATTGGCCCCCTTCTATTGACAGCATCATTTAATCTGTTTGTTGTTTTGTTTGTTTTGTTTTGTTTGTATTGCGTATTATAGTATTTCTCCGCATAAAATAAAAAAATCTAATAAAAACACGTGGGCTGGATATATTGGCTGCGCGCATCGAGCGTGCATCAACACGTATTAGTCAATCAATCATCAACATACCCTGGGTTTACAGGAGTTGTAATACAACACGCACACAAAAAATAAAAAATAATGGAACATTGAGAGACATAGTCCGGGGTTTAGGTGAGAACGGCAAGTCTGGTGAGAGGCAAAGACAGCGCTGTCGGCAGCACGAACCAACGGGGCTACCCATCCCGCCATGACATCCAACAGATGCCACGTGTTCGTGTCTAGCAGGGCTGAAGTCACTCAAGTTGACTTGCCTGTAACCTCATACCACCGCAGATCAGGGTTGCGGGGGAGATGCCAATACCAGCAATCTGCCTAGTTTAGCGGTCACGGTGTTATTTCTGTACTTGGCTTGTTGTGCGCCATGTAAACATTTGTTTACGTGTTATTCTTCGTCGCGCATACGGCGGTTGCCATAGCTACGGGCATCTCTATCTGAAGCGCACTCAGTATTTCTCGAAGGAAGACGGTGGATACGCCAGCTCTTCGCTACACCACTCTGTGTTGGAGAAGGTTTGACATGAAAAACGTTGTGATGGATGTCTGCCTGCCCTTCTGATGGTGTTATCCAACAAGGAACGGCCCGACCTCTACGCCTGTCCTTTGCCGAGCGGAACCACATTCCAGAGACTGACTTTTTCTGTGTTTAGTGAATGTGGTTATTGACACTCATTTGAATGTATGTTGGTGGATACCAAAGCACCTTCGAGTCCATTGCACGTGAGAAACTGCGTGAAAAAGCCACAGCTAACTGGCGGGGCGTTTGATTGGTGGTACGACGACTGAGAGAGGCCGCGGTTGCTTGGGGTTTTGGTCGAACCATTCTTGTGTCTGTAGGCGTGAAGGTTCCAATACCTGGATAAGTTATTAGTCCAGGCAGGGCAGGTACTGGCAGTGGAGGGATAGCTAGCCTTGCTAGCTTTATATTACTGTGGAAACTCGGATTTTGACGGCCACCGCCGGGTAGCTCGTCGCGGCTGGGTTGGGATGTCTGTTGTAGCTGGCTATTCAAAGTTTATTGGCATATAGAGCGTCCCAAGAAATGTCCTACAGTTGATCGAGTCCTACAACTTTACTCGGTCATGGACGTCTGCACTGTGCGCTCCGAACATTTACGATTTTGCACAATTTATATAATAGTTAGACGCTGATTCGAGGTAACTACGCGCAGTAGAAAGCCGAGAGCCCCGGCATTGTGGCGCCCCGAGCGCAGCGAGGGCGCTACCCCCGGGGCACGAGGCTTTCTACCGGCGCGTGGTTACCGAGGAATCAGCGTCTAACTATTTTAGAGTGAGCGCTTCACGTTGAGCGCTCTGGCTTTCCTGTTCGTTCGTATGGCGGAGCGCGTCTAACGATGACTGGATGGAGACTGGCTCAGAGCGCCAGAAAATGCAGTGCAAGCGGCAGAGACACGCGGTAGCGACTCACTCCGCCTTCTTTTTCTGGTTGCGCGCAGGGGGGTCTGCGCGTGGACGACGCGTCAATGTAGATTCAGTTGTTGATCTTGCTGTTTACATGTACATTTTGTTATGTTTTCCTGTTTTATCTGTAGGTTTTGTAGTTTCTGTAGGTTTACTATATAGTAAACCCCTCCGAGGTTTACTACGGGGAATAGTAAACCTCGGCTTTGCAATCTGATTGGTCGATTCGAACCTAGCTCACTCTAAAGGCTATTTTTGACCCATTTTGGCCGCTAAACTTTGCATTGGGCCTATATACTAACCCCTGACCAAAAAATCTTTGAGGCTTCTTCTACAATTATCCGATTGAGCACCGAGAAAATTTTGAAGCACGACCAAGGAAAAGGCATTTTTATGAAGCAAGGTTTCCAAAATTTATTTCCAAATGTACACGTAACATAGGGACGAATAATGTACGAATAAAAGTAGGCGTGTCCGGTTGTTAGCCGGCCGAGATGGGCGGAAATGTAGCTCATTCTGGAGAGTAGTGACTATAGATTAGCTCTCGAAATTGGCATATCTTCCAGGATCACTCTGTCTCGAGAAAACCTGCAGGAAAGAAAGGCCTCCATTTGAAATTAGTACGTTGGCTCACGCACATTTATTTTTAATTTTACGTGACGTCATACTCGTCATGTCCCCGCAATTTCTGGTATTGGATGACGTATTATGGTTGCTAGGCTACAAATTGGTTAATCGCCTTGACTCTACCCCCTCTGGCTCCGCCCTCGGGTGCTAGAGTAAACAACTTCGGGGATATCGCCGGTATATTATTGTACCGCTTCAGAACCAGGCGTTAACCATACGTAAACAAGTCGTTGTCTGCTGAATCGCTCAGTAGTGCATTAATTTTCTGATGATGAAAGTGATTTTCCTTGCAGTTCTTTTCGCATTATGCTGGAGTTCATCATCATGTGAACAAGGTAGCTAACACATGTTGTATTCCTTATTATCTATAATATGGTTTATTATTCCTAGACACCGGGTACTATCTTGCGTTTCCCAGCAATTTTCATCATCAGAGGTGAGATACCATCACAGACTGTCGGCAACACGAACCAAAGGGGCTACCCATCCCACCGTGACGTCCACGATACAGATGCCACGTGTCCGCGTCTAGCAGCTGCCTGTTGCTCGAAATCCCCGGTAGGCACCCCACCCGTCAGAGGGTCTCCCACGCCATACATACGAACAAAACAGTGTCATCCACAGAGCTAAGGCATAGAAAGACGCCTTAGAAAATACAGCAGTCGAGCCGCCATCTATCCACAATGCGTCATTAGTACGTAGTACGCGCACGCGCAGCAGGCGCAAAATGGCTACTCGCGTGCGCGTTGGACTAACTGGGCGTGTCCTTTTATAAGGGGGCGGGGTCGCGCGCTGTCCCGGATTGTCCTCTGGAAAAGTTGGCAACTATGGCCATACCACTACTGATGGGCTGGGCTATCAGTATGCGTTTCTCCCGCTAGTAGCTCGAGGAAAGTCTGACATGGACTAGCTACAGTAGTAGAAAGCATGCGGAAGTCGATACATGCCCTTCGTTGTGACTTCTTGTGCCTTCAAGATAAACAGAGCGAGCGGACACGGCTGCGCCGCGCATTTCGTATAATATACGCATGCGTACAGCTGCCTTTTCAAGGTTCCTTGACATTGATGTTCCTCTCTCCCAACATTCCCTTTCACGGGCTATTGACCAAGCCTCCATTGCTGACCTATTGGCTACTGCCGCTCACCCTCGTTCAAAAGCCCTTGCTCTCTCAACTTCGATCTTACACGCCGGCGATTGGCTCAACGTTGTTCCCTTAGGCATCTCCTGGACCGCGAATTTCGGGTATGTTTTCAGTATTTGTTGGGCCTACAGACGTTTGAAGAGCACCCAAGGTGCCCTACCAACCATCCCGCCTTTACCGGGATTATCCCGGTATTCGAGCTCTGATCCCGGTATCCCGTCATTAAGTATGTACGAAAATCCCGTTTTTACACTTGCGCGCGCTGGCGCATAACGCGCCGTCGCGGAGCCACGCCTTCCGCCGGCCCGCCCTCATGCCGCGCCGCTGACCTTACAATGAACGACCTAAGCATGCTAGCGGTTTGAAGCCTCGGCAGCATCATTTACACGATTGTTTAGGCGCTTTACTCCAACAGCTGACTTAGACGCTATAATGATGGAGTATCAGTCGTTACCAGATCCCCATGCAAATCATTAAATGATTTTTGGGCCTCTGTTGGAGATTTACCCAAGCCTGCTGGTGAGATTGGTGAGAGGCGTTTTAGTCATTTAACTGGATTCTGTAAGACTGCCACATTCAGCCGATCTCGAGCGTATGATTGGTAAAGTCCACACATCTCAGCGAAGTAGTTTGCTTCCATCTACAATACATCTGTAATATTTTGAGTGCAAAGATAAATCATGATCAGCAGTGCTTTAAACGTTACACCGGATCTAATTGCCCAAGCCAAAAGTGCCACAACGCGAAGCCTACAACTTAACTTCAATGCAATGTATATAATATAGATGATCATGATGGCTGTATCTCTGCAATAGTAAATGTAATTACTCTAAATATTAGTTAATTAAAAATCAAGCAAAAATGTGAAATATCAAGCAATTTTGTGCCTGATGTCAAGCAAATTATTTGGAGGTGGTTGGTAGGTATGCGGCGGGCGGCTAGTAGCTCGCGGAGAGCCTGAAACGGGCTAGCTATGATAGTAGATATATAGCATGCGGGAGTCGATGCATGCCATTCGTTGCGACTTCCTGAGCCGACAAGGTACACAGAGTGAGCGGATCAGGTCGCGGTAAGCCCAGTGCGATTATATTAGAGCGTCGGTAGACGCTCTAGCTATATAGGGATGGCACGAGTGAATCTCATGTGATCCGCGTACAAAACGCCTAAAACTCGTTGAGAATGACTCCCTAGGCCTTCAAAACACACTAGCAATAGTCTACGGGCCCATATCTACCTATACATGTTCCCAAAGACCTCATACGCACCTTCAGTTCTCCACGCGAGACTTCGCTCATACGCGACTTCACGATTTTCGTGTCATCATCTTCTTCTTCTTCAATCCCTCTATCGAACCAGTTGAAGCGCTGATTTTTTCACTGAACGTCTCCAATTTCGCCGGAGGTGTGCACGGACATCAAGCGATCGTTTCTTTCTTGCCGTAAGTCACTACGGTAGATCATGGAGCTCTTCCATGGTCGACACTGAACAACGCCATTTGCTGCTAACTCAGCATCAGTAAGCCGCGCGCATGCGCCATGCAGAGGCGTTGTCGAATGCGCTAGCTGTGCGCGCGTATTGTTACCAGGCGAGTTGGCAGACCTGCAGAGGAACTCTTAGCCTCCAGTGCCTTCTATAAGTCAGTGTGCACATTTCCAACTGTTGATTTACACGGTTGGCTGAGTAGTGGAAACAAGTGTAAAAATTATTTCTTCAAAATGAAGGGGATATAGGGATGGCTTGAAGCACCAAAAAGGAAGAAACAAGGGGCGGGGGAAGCTTTCATGAGGGGATCGGGAGAGGCCGGCGGCGGAGCTAGCTCCCCCCCCCCACCCCCCACGATGCCGCTGCCCGGCGCGCGGGGGAGGCTTTCATGAGGGGAGGCCGGCCGAGCTAGCCCTCGCCCCACCACGATTATTCCGCGCATGCACACCGCGTAAATGGTATTTTACTAATACTTAACATTCTCTGTGAGCCTTAAATAAAAGAGCGGGGCTACGTACGTGGAAAAGGTTGCTCGCTTTATAATACGGCATGGAAAATTGTAGCTGTAGCACTTGTTCTGATAGTCACTGCAAGTGGTTCCATTACACCTCTGAGGACTTCCAAGTGTCTGGCGTGCATCTTTGTCGACCCGAGAGTGGAAGTGATAATTTCTTTCTTCGTGGCATTGCCAAGAGCTCAACTTACTCACTGTAAGCTCTGAGCTATGTTGCCCTTAAAAATCCTCTCACTCTCGCCCTCATGGAACGAGTATCGTTCTTCGTGGAGGATCTCACAACGTGGACCAAACAGTTACGTGGCTAATGTGGAAAGGGGCTCACAATACGAATGCGGTAATGCTGTTTCCAATCATAAAATTCAGGCATGCAGCCGATCTGATGACAGTTGATTCTGGCTTATCCTTGCAATCTGTGAAAAATCTCAGATTTTCTAACGTTCATTTTGAAGGTTTGGGGCTCGTCAGTACAGCACAACACTGAGAAACAATAGATAACCATCCATCCTCTTCTGCAGTGTATCTCATTAACTGTACTAATGTTTTTTTTTTTCCAGCGCGTGCAAGTTTTACTGGAACATTGTAGAGCACTGTCTCTTGTATTATGTTACTGGTCCACTTGACTGACAAGAAGTCGAGTTTAATCTGAACAGTTTATCGTGAGAGAGAAATTGTACTTTGTTGGAGGCCGTATCTACATTGGAGTTTACGTACTGTTCGCCTGGATTCCCAGACTGTGATAAGCATAGCATACTCTCAACAGCAACACAGTACTTTATAAGAGATTGCCTATTGAAAGCATGTGGCCACGAGTGGTGAGATCTCAGGGCAGGTCCACATTGTTCAGTTTAGAGTCCTTGCTGGCAATGACGGCAATAATTTCGGCGAAGGAGGTGGAATTAATATCACACCTAAAGGCACCAGTTCCAACAACTCAATTGTAGTACAGAACTGCACATTTCGTAATAATACTGCTACATATGGAGGTGCAATCGGAGTTATATTTCAGGACCTGTGTAGTGAAACAACATTGCACGTAAAGAAATGTAATTTTCACAACAATTATGCTTGGGAAAGGGGAGGTGGTGCTCTGCAATTAGGATATGTAAACACTGAAAAAGTTGCTAACAATCAGATCATTGTTGAGGACTCTGAATTTATTGGCAACTCAGCTGGCTGGGGAGGTGCGGCTGCCTTTTTTGTAAGTCGAGCAAGATTTGATGTAAAAAACAGCATATCGTTCTTCAACTGCACGTTTATCGGAAATTCAGCATCGATTGGGGCAGCCATGCTACTAAAGCCAGAAGCTAGGGATTCTATATACGACGGCTCAGTGCCAACCCCATTTCTCCAAAACTGCACTTTTATTAACAATGAAGTTGTTTTCACAGCAGCATTGCTCAATATTGCAAACGACGAGGTATCTAAACATGTACTTCAGTCTGGTACCATTGACATTGAGTCTCTTACTATTGATCTCTCTGAAATGATCACCCTAGTTGGCAATAGAGGAAGTGCCGTAACCGCAAAGTCGGCACAAGTCAATATTTTAAGTAACACCAAAGTAGAGTTTGTTAACAACACTGCCACTAATGGTGGAGCAATGGCTCTACTTGGTTTCTCGGTCCTGGAGCTCCACCCTGGGTCTCAGGTGCTGTTTGAATCAAATCATGCTAGTGAACTAGGTGGAGCTGTGTATGCCACTTCACCTCATCAAACTGAGTTCATATTTTCCCACAAGTGCTTCATTTCCTATCTCCACTTTCCAAACCCGAATAATTGGAACACGTCACTCACTTTCGTCAACAATACAGCAAAGTTTGGTTTTGCCATCTTCACTGACTCACTACTCCCATGTGCTAAACATGTTGGCAATGTATCAACTGACATCAAACAGGCACTTAAGTGGGAACCTTTTGAGTTTACGTCGGGTATTGAGCAATACACAATAGCAACCAGCCCCGCAGGAATAACATTTACTTTACCACCTGAAGTAGCACCAGGACAGAGGGTGGATATACACCCACTGGCAGTTGATGACCTCGGACAAACAATCCCCACTGGTTACCAGGTTTTTCTGGAGAGTGACATGGGAACAACCACAAACAACTATCTCTCAGACAACGGCTTCTTGCAGATTAAGGGAGAGCCAGGAACGGTGTTTAATCTCACACTTCAAACTCAAAACACTCGGCTAGTTTCTGTTACGATGCCTGGTCGACTGGGTGCATGTCCACTCGGTTTCGCACTAGAGAACCGTGAATGTGTCTGCTCCACAAGCACACTCGACAAAAAGCTTGTTGGGGTTGCAGAGTGTGACCTGTCGAGTTTCTCGGCATTTCTCCTGCAGGGTTATTGGGCAGGGTGTGTGAATGGGGGAAACACGGCCACCGGCTACTGTCCTCCTGATTACTGCAACTATCGAAATGCTTCGAGTATTCATAAAACAGTAGCTCCTACATCATGTGCTGAAGTTGATAGCGGGCGACTGTGTACTGCACACAGAAAAGGACCAGTCTGTGGTGAGTGCGAGGAGGGATACTCTGTTCTTTTCCACTCAGAAAGCTTTGGTTGCAATAAATGCTCGTATGGTGCCGTTGGACTACTGTTTTACGTTTTGGCAGAGCTATTTCCGTTAGTGCTTGTGTTTGCCATCATTATGATGATGAAGTTGAAACTCACATCAGGACTAATGCAGAGCATATTGCTTTTTGCTCAGACAATCACATTCATCAACCAAACCCCATCATTGATAGCTCTCTCTGAAACCAGCCTATATTTCTTGAGGATCCACTCTTTTCTTCTCGGATTCCTCAGTCTTCGATTCTTTTACATCGACAAACTCTCATTCTGCCTCTGGAAGGGAGCCACTGTACTTCAGAATCTCACATTCAACTATGTTACATCTTTGTCGGCCCTCCTGCTCCTCGGCCTGTACATACTCCTTGTCAATAACCTTTCATTTCAAATACACAGGAAAACAAAAGCAAAAGCCTGCTTTGGAAAAATGACCCAGTTCATAAAAGAGAAGAACCTATTCAAGAATTCCACCGTTCATGGCATTTCGACATTCCTGCTTCTGTCCTATACTCAGTACACAGTGACTTCGTTTCAGATTCTGTCCAGACTGACTTTGTACGGAGAGGGAGAAGGAAAATTAGGTTCAGTTGTTCGCCTAGAAGGGAATGTTGACTACTTTGGACCCAACCACCTCCCATATGCCATTCCAGCATTGCTAGTGTTGATATTCCTCTCTCTTCCTCCACCTCTTCTGCTCATCTCTTACCCACTGCTGTGGAAGGTCAAAGCAAAACTGAGACGTAATAATGCGGAAAATGAAAACGACACAACTCTGTGGCCAATTCGTAAACTTCTACCCCTCATTGACTCATTCCAGGGAGTGTTCAGAGACAACTGCCGTATGTTTGCTGGTCTCCTATTCCTGTGGAAATTGGTTCTGAGTAGCATTTTTGCTTTCTCCACAAATTTAAGGGAATTTTTTCTCCTAACTGAAATAGCACTTCTAAGTTTTCTCACTATTCACATTTTGGCTCGACCCTACAAACGAAGGATCTACAATATCATAGACCCTCTCACGATTGTGAACATGACGATAATCAATTCGCTGTCTTGGTTTGTCTATGCAATTTCAACCGAGAGCAAAGCTAGTGCTACTGCGGAGGGAGTTACTGCTCTCAAGCTCATGTTAATGTATCTACCAGTTGCCCTACTAGCTGCATATGTACTGTTACTGCTCTTTCGAAAGACTGGTGTGATTCGTAACAAGTTTCAGTTAGGGTCTTCAGAGGAAGGTAATTATGGCCGTAAAGTGTCGAGCAAAAAAGGGGGCCAACAGAGAGGCGCGTGCAATGATGAAGATCTGTTTGCTCGTGCTGAGGAAGTGAAATGTCCAGCTCTTATTCTGGCCAGTGTAAAGGAAGGATTTACACTCGAAACAACTGAATGTCGTACCATGAGTGAAGTTGTTACTGATGAGACCAATGGTGAACGCCAGTAGCATCGTACATATAATATACAAACCCATTCAGTTCATGGACTTACAACATTGTATTTGGGTATCATGTTGTTTTCTGTTGTAGAATGAACGAGAATTATAAAGAAAAACTAAGTAACGAAACTATGAGCAAGCGGGCGCTCAAAACATGTTGTTTGTGGAGACTCTGTATTGTAAACACAAGCGCACCCATGGTGGGGGTGAGGACTAAATTTACTATTATACTTACTAAGTCACGGACAGATTGCTTCTCTCTTCTTCACTGAATTCTGCATGCCGGCAATTTCTATCAGGCTGGCACTTACCGGTTTTGATCGCAGTAACTGTTTAAACAGCCACGTTCCCTAACGTACCTAGCCTTGCTAGCTACTGCTGTTAAGCCTAATACATGAGTGTTTTTCTACAGGGTATAATTATAGCATGCAGCAGGTGTGTTTCCCTAAGTAAAATTCTGGATGCAAAAGCTTTCGTCAATTTAATTACACACAAAATAAACTGTTATGTATTTGGTGCTTGGCTTTATGTAAAAAATTTTCTGCCATAAACATAATCATGGATACGCAATATCCTTAGATAAGTATGTGACATTACATACAGTCCACACTTAGTCCATGAGGAAAGAAGAAATAACTATTTCCCTAAGAGTCAATGGTGCAGCTGTTGTCCCAGTGCCACAGTATCATAGATTGCCGCAGGAGGGATAGATATGGCCAGATGAACGGCTGTAACCTTTCAGAATGCAGATCTCCTGTGCGTGAAAGCCAATAGGGAAATAATGTTAAACCAGAAGAGTGTGAGACGAAAATTGTGCAGCTTTTTTCATTTGCGTGATGTAGCTAATGAGCTTTAGCTAACTAGTGTTTTCACTACTAGCTGCATAACATGGATAGTAGCTAAGTAGTCACCTCAGTCCATTTTGTGCCTTGTGAACACAGCAACAGCATTATGAGTCTCCCTCACACTATTCAAATTCATGCACAAATATGGCATGAACAAGAAACGTGGTGGCCATTCTCACCCTTTGTACTTTGGCATAAAAAACAGCAATGTATTGGAAATGCTTGTCCTCTTATAGTCATGTTTGACGCACACAATAGCTTTCTATAGGTAAACAGCATAGCTACAAAGTGTAGTTATGGGAATCTGATGTAGAGTTGTGCATTCCACCATGGAGCTATCTATGTGCCCCTACAGAGCAAGTAGAACTTTCATGTAAACAAGTCGTTGTCTGCTGAATCGCTCAGTAGTGCATTAATTTTCTGATGATGAAAGTGATTTTCCTTGCAGTTCTTTTCGCATTATGCTGGAGTTCATCATCATGTGAACAAGGTAGCTAACACATGTTGTGTTCCTTATTATCTATAATATGGTTTATTGTTCCTAGACACCGGGTACTATCTTGCGTTTCCCAGGAATTATCATTTCACTCAATCCCTGAAGTTGTCGATATCCACTACGGAGTCCGAACCAGTTTATTTCTTTGTTGATACTTTGGATGGCTTTCAGTTCAGGGGCATTGTCCACGATAATGCTACCGTCACTGTTGAACTGCCCCTCTCATTTGAAGTGACAAATAGCACTGTGAGAAACAAAGGAATTAGAATAACAGCTGCCACCACCAAATTAACAGTCCATGGCTTAAGTCATCGTGATCGTACTTCTGGTATGTTTGCGGCACTACCGTGCGTGAAGCAAAACGTTAATGAATATGTATACTATGGAGTAACTTATGGAACCACATACCTATCACAGCTGCTGTTTGTTGGGTGTGAAGATGGCACCCAGGTAAAGGTTGGGTCAGAAGTTATCAATCTGAATGAAATGGAAACGTACCTGTACACCAATGGCAGCGATTTGACAGGAGTTAGAGTTGTTTCGAACAAGCCAATATCTTTTTTCTCTGGTGAAAGATGCACAAACATCCCAGTAGGTGTCGGGTTCTGTGATTTCATCGTTGAGCAACTTCCCAACACCGCACTCTGGGGTTCTCACTTTCTGACAGCTTCGCTCTATGGGCGGACAGCTCCAGATATTTACACTGTAGTGTCTTGTGCTCCGTCCACCATTGTTCAGATACATTGCTCAAACTCACTTCCAACTCAAGTTTTATACGAATTTGAAAACAACTATGAAACATTTACGTTGTCAAATGATACTTTCTGCACTATAACCTCGAATCACCCAGTGTTGGTCGTTCAGTTTGCATCTGGTCAAGAAGCTGACAATGTTGAAAGCGATCCATTTATGATGATGCTACAACCAATTGAGCAGTATGAAAATGATGTTGCAATTGTGGTTCCATCTAATTTTACAGTTAATGTTGTTGCCATATATGTTAGACCAGAAGAATTTGAACCAGAAAAGGTATCTGTGGATGGAAATAGTCAAACAAATGTGAATTGGACAGCCATTCCATGTGCAGATGGAAATGTTTGTGGATATGTAGCTTATGTCAGTCTTACAGAAGGGCAACACAGACTTTCTCACCAGGACGGCCAATGTGGGATGATTGGGGCTTCTGTCTATGGATTCAGCTACCACAATGGATATGGCTACCCAGCAGTCGGGACAGTACATACTCTGTTACAAGGTAGGCATTGAACCTCTGAATTACTTTTCCACCATGTTGTCCTGGGTGTAGTTGACATGCTTTAAAACCCCATGGGTATATTCTTGTATAAAGAAAAAGCGCCTAGTATTATAACCCTCATATAATATTCTTATCGACTTACGGAGGCTCTGGACACATTAATATGTCCGCAGCTGGTTAAAATGATGTGCATGATTATAGTTATTAGAGTGCCAAGCACAGTCTATGCACATTGCCAGTTTCTAGTGTGAGAGAGATTGTACCACAGAAGCCCTAGAAATCAAAGGCACCGCATGCAGTGCATGCAATGGATAGATTCCTCAGTCGCCATGTGTCGCATAGATAGAATGTATATTTATAGTCACATATTTATTTTGAATAATCTATTTTTAACATTTCTATTTCTACCATTTCTACTATTATTTATATTATTTTTTAATATTTTTCTTACACGTGTATATGCTGTGCGTTATTTAAAGTAATCGACAGAACTATTAATCTTATTTTAGGAGTTCTATTTTTTCTATTTTTCTTACACGTGTATATGCTGTGCGTTATTTAGAATAATCGCACGTTTTTTATGTCTCCGTCGTGTCGTCGTGTTGCGTGAGTTTCAGAGTGTTTATATTTTTCTATCAGTTTATTGGTCCTTTGAGGCTTTCTATTTTTCTACCGGCTGTTGTTTTTATCCTGTAGCTGTCGTTTTTTGTACATGATTTCTATCTATTTATTTTATAACTATGTGTAAGGGAGGTTGGGACACTGGGTGTGTAGGGAGAGTTGGGCCCATAAAAGACTCTTTAACCTACCGCCCCGGTTCTCAAGGCTGGGCACCCAGGGTCCTGCCTCTTTCTTTCTGTTTATATGTTATTGTCTGTGTGTTGTGTGCTTGGGTGGGGGAGGTTCTTTCTTTTCCTCTGAGCTAGTATGCTATAAACATGTTTTTTCATGCGCACTAAGACAACTTATTAGTATGCATGCCATGGTGTATGCATGCCATGCATGCCATGGTGTATGGTGTGCTGACTCAGCCATACACTCACATGTGGTGTATGAGCTCTCATACACCATTGCATGCAACTAATAAGTTGTCTTAGTGCGCATTCCTGTGGTACAAATTGGTTACACACTACACCCACGCGACGGTTTAGTGCATGCACTACTCGTGCTGCGCACTCGTAGTGTATGTCCACTAAACCGTCTCGTGGGCATAGTGTAACCTATTATGCGTAATCTTGTGTATGAATGTACCACTTTTACCTGCCTTCCTCATAGGATCAGCAGTGTCTCCACGGAATGTTAAGGTTGGTGTTGAAAGTCCCAATGTCCTCACTGTACAATGGGATAGCCTTAGAGTTGACTGTAGTGAGGTCAATGGTGTTATAGTCAAGTACAAAGTGCAGTATGTAGCACAGAACAGTGATGTGGTTCACACCAAAGATCAGGCTGCACGGCAGAATGTTACTAGACCCAAGATGTCACTAACAGGACTGAGTCCGAATACCAACTACACCATTCAAGTGGCTGCTGTGAACGTGGAGGGATATGTGGGATTGTTAAGTGCACCCCTGAGTGTACAGACAGCACAAGGTATGTACGTCATCTTTCCGTAACTCTGCTAATGTAAACTTGTGCTTTTTGGTTTTCCTTTTAAGTGGCAGTATCATCTCCGAGTTCCAGAAACTCTGAAGGCCTTACAATAACTATTGGAGTCGTTTTTTTCCTCGTTGGTGTTCTTGTGGGTGCCTCTGGAATAACTGCTGCAGTCATCATTAGACAAAAGGCCAAGCGACAGGAAAGCTCAAAAGAACCCCATATCATTACAAAACCAAATCAAGTGTATGAGATGACCCAGATAAGAAATCCAGGAGCTGCAGTGATGGAAGATCCGGTGTATGCAACAGTTTCCCGCGTGCTGAAATTAAAAATTTATACACAACCAAGTTTTTTTGTCCTTGGTTTTAATTTTCCCATGTATAATCATGAATAATCATTATAGTATTATAATATCCATAGATAAGTATAATATGTGAAATTACTCCAGTTACATAGAGTCCACACATGGTCCATGAGGAAACAAGAAATAACTATTTCCCGAAGAGTCAATGGTGCAGCTGGTGACCTCAGTTGTCCCAGACCCAGTATCGTACACTGTCATAGGCACAACTTCTCCCGGCTCTCCAGACAGGTACACCACGTGAATGTCTCCATTAGAAGTTATGATGTCAACGACTCGGGTCTCGGACACGGGCAGTACTTTGTTCAGTTCTCCAAGTAGAGCCCACCCACTAGCCATGATGGGAGACAAGGTCCAGTACTGGAAATCAGTCACGGAACACTCTGGGATGTCTAGAGTTCCGGTGAAGTTCATGGCCTTTACTACGGTGCCGTCTAGTGTGTATGTGTAGGCCAGAGACGGAGGGAAACTTGTTCTCGGCTTCACGTTGGTAGAGGGTGGGAGTTCACTGGCGTGCATGGTGTATGCGGATGACATCGTCCCAGATATGATGTAGTACCATGTGAATGGACCCACCTGAAAATTTTATTTGGGAGAAAGTTAAAAACGCAAGAACAGCAGATTTGATGCATGCAACATAGCAGTTGATTCTTAGAGCCTCTGTTTGTCCAAGCGTGCACTTTGTATGCAGGCAGTAGGTATAGAAGCTTGAAACAATAGCGCAACATTATCGATGTAATTTTGTCAATAACACACATTTTTACTTGTTTAGCTCATATGCATACAACCTCAGTGTATGCATAGCTAAACAAGTAAACATGTAGTGTATAGCTCATATACATGGAAGACATAAGATACATACCTCAGTGTATGCAGCCCAGAGCTGGCCATTGGGACCAGACGACTGGAATGCTCTATAGAGGAAGGTAGAATCCAAACTCATGACTGGATGTGTTGGCTTCAGTAGACGACCATCAGACATGCTGTGGGAGGAAAAATAACATTAGACAAATGATGCACGAGTGACTTATTTCTCCCACTACAACTAAGGTGAGTTGCAATAAACACTTGCATAACTACATACTCATAAAAAAAATGCCTGCCCCTTTGTCCTTGAAAAATACGTCATTGATATACACTGGCCCCGTGTTCACACTTCATGATTCATGCCCCTTAATCAAACTATAATGACAGTGAGCGTGTACCAAGTGGCCATGATGAGTGTTCTGTTGGCCTTGAGGATGTGGTCGCTGGGGCCCACAGGTCATCCACTGAGGGCTGCAGCATACGTCTCCAGAGCAGGGGCTGGCTCATTCTCTGTGTTGTGGCACCCCTTCTCAATAACACTCGTATGGAAATTCTGTAAGGCCATGGAGAATTACACAACCACGGCACCCTGACTAACTGTGGGAGACATGTACATATTGTGTTGAAGATTCGAACCCCTACCAGCTGAGTTGCCCTGGTAGCTCGGTTGGTTGAGTGCTCGCCTAGACTGCATGACAGTGTCGTTGGTTCGAATCCCACCCAGCAGCTCTTCTTTTTCAGCTGCCCTGGGTGTTTACATTTGCTTTGCCTTTCTTTGCCTCGCTATATACCTCTTTACTGACACATGTGTACAAATGATACTAAGTACAATGGAGTTGAGTGTGCATTCGGAGTGGAGAAGACGTAGGTTCATTACATCTTTGAAGGCGGCGAACCCGAGGGCAGATGCCAGGATGGTGGTGTCTCCAATCTGCCACTGGGAGTTGCCCGGGGTGTAGTCATCACTGATCCTGCTCTGAGTCACTGCAGAGATCTCCACACTCTGCAGGAGGTGACGTGGCCATGGCATACAGTACCTGGGCCAACAACAACACTGTGTTAGTCACGCACTGTATGAATATTTCCAGGCAAAAAACTACGAGAAATATGGCTGTGCACATACCATAAACCGAGTCTACTACATTGCTGCATGCGCCTGTACCTCTCATGTTTGTTTGCCAAGCTACAATTACACAGCAAAGTTGCACAAAGCTACATGACACCATCCCTATATCTTTGTTCGATATTAAACTTTGCTTACAAACAATAAAACAAAGATATAGGGATGGTGTCATGTAGCTTTGTGCAACTTTGCTGTGTAATGACCCCTTGTTTCTTCCTTTTTGACCCTTCAAGCCATCCCTATATCCCCCTTTCATTTTGAAGAAATGATTTCCCCCCCTTGTTTCCACTATTTTTAACAGCTTATGACAACACTGCTCTGATGTTCATGGGTATGTTGATATGACAAATTGAATGTAATAGCTAATGGGGCTGCTAGGGCTAGATACCGCGTTCACCTCATGTTTTGTCTTCAACAAGGATGTAATTAGATTATTGCACATGGTTGCAAACAATTGTCATCCATCGTTGGCTGAGTCAGGTGAGCCCGTGGTAGAAGAAATTCGTGTTGATGAAGCAGAAGGTGAGGATGGGTCTAAATGTATCACTGGTGGAGGAAGGCCCATTTGACTGAGCGCCCCGCGGCTCCCGTAACACAGCGCAGACTCTGCCAAGTTGCTCTTCGTGCAAACCAACAGCAAGCTAGCCAGTTGGAAATGTACACACTTACTTACAGAAGGTACTAGAGGCTGAGAGTTCCTCTGCAGGTCTGCCAACTCGCCTGGTAGAATACGCACGCAATCGCATTGGACAACGCCCCTGCCCGGCGCATGCGCGCGGCTCACTGGTGCTGAGTTAGCAGCAAATGGCGTTCTTCAGTGTCGGCCATTTGAAGAGCTCCACGATCTACCGTAGTGACTAGCGGCAAGAAAGAAACGATCGCTTGATGTCCGTGCACACCTCCGGCGAAATTGGAGACCTTCAGTGAAAAAATCAGTGCTTGAGCTGGTACTGGTAAGGAGATAGCGAGTTTAAAGAAGAAGAAGAAGAAGAAGAAGATGAAGAATAATTGATGACACGAAAATCGTGAAATCGCGTATGAGCGAATTCTCGCGTGGACGACTGAAGGTGCGTATGAGGTCTTGGGGGACATGTATAGGTAGATATGGGCCCGTAAACTATTGCTAGTATGTTTTTAAGGCCTAGGGAGTGATTCTCACCGAGTTTTTAGTCGTTTTGTACGCGGATCACGTGAGATTTCATCCGTGTCATCCCTATATATAGAGAATCTACCGACTCTCTAATAGGAGTGAAAGGTTTGACTTGATAATGACCCTTCATGAGCTTCCACCGAAGTATAATTGTGGCTTGTGAACTTGCTTTTCATCCCATTTCGAACGCTTCAGAAAGTTGTTTACCGTTAGTCTTATGGGGGTCACCATTTCTCTATAAGGTGTGAATACATGTTCCTGGAATTTGCTGTACTGAATGTGAATCATTTAGTTCATCGTAATACGTGAATTTGACAGCTAATGAATTTATGCTGGTATCTAGCATGGATCCTGTTTTTAAAGAGAATATGAGATAACATCTCTAATAAGAATCGTAGGTTAGTAAGAAAAATGCCATTTATTGATTATTGGGCCAAGGTAGGCTATAAAAATCAAGTGCTATTTTGCATGCATCATATCTGCTGCAACTATTATGGCCCACCAGCGTCACTGTCCAATATTTCTTCCATGAACTTTCAGCACCAAAGACAGCTACAGGGCGAAGCCTTATCAAGATCATCACTAACTCCATTCCTAATACTTTGTATGTTTTTATGTGTGCTAGTGTACCATCACTTCTTGTATATACCAGTCAGTTTTTGTGAAGTCAAGGAAAATAGATCATAAACAAGGAAAATAACTGGGAATCTGATGTAGAGTTGTGCATTCTACCATGGAGCTATCTATGTGCCCCTACAGAGCAAGTAGAACTTTCATTTGTAGCCTAGTTTTGCTGATTTTCAAAGGCACCGCGCTAGTAGTATTCCCAGTACCTAAGCCGCCAGCACGTCAATACTCATATCCCCGAGGATGTGTGGCTGCCGTTAATTGAGTCAATATGAGTATTCGCTGGCTGGATGGGCACAGTTTACACAACGATCGAGCAAACAATGGCCAGTGACCTTTCTTGGTAAGCTGTAGATGGCTGTGGCTACATCCCAAGCTGGCAGGCAAGGGAATAATGGCGAGCCAGTAAGCGAGAAGATGCGCGCGCAAGCCAGAAAAAAGGCGAGAGCTGGAGCGAGAGGGCTGTGTGCCGTTCGTCACTTGTGTCGTTTTGATGACACGCTGTTCAAAAATGTCAGGCTTAGCTGCACCATAGCTGAGCTGTAGCGTACGTGATATACGAAGGAGACTCCAAAGAACGTCATTCCAGGTCTGCGCGGCGTCTTGTCTTCTCTGCTTGGTCCGCGCTACAGCAGCCCGCTACAATTGCACGGTACACTACGCTCCACCGCTAGCTAAAGTAGTACTCGCTCGAACAAACGGTCAACAGGCAGCAGGGCTCACGCAAGCATGCTCTCGGCCTCCTTTCCTTCGTCTCGCCCACCGATTTCTCTCGCAACCCTGGCAAAATTTTGCAATACCAGCAATCTGCCTAGTTTAGCGGTCACGGTGTTATTTCTGTACTTGGCTTGTTGTGCGCCATGTAAACATTTGTTTACGTGTTATTCTTCGTCGCGCATACGGCGGTTACCATCTACGGGCATCTCTATCTGAAGCGCACTCATTATTTCTCGAAGGAAGACGGTGGATACGCCAGCTCTTCGCTACACCACTCTGTGTTGGAGAAGGTTTGACATGAAAAACGTTGTGATGGATGTCTGCCTGCCCTTCTGATGGTGTTATCCAACAAGGAACGGCCCGACCTCTACGCCTGTCCTTTGCCGAGCGGAACCACCTTCCAGAGACTGACTTTTTCTGTGTTTAGTGAATGTGGTTATTGACACTCATTTGAATGTATGTTGGTGGATACCAAAGCACCTTCGAGTCCATTGCACGTGAGAAACTGCGTGAGAAAAGCCACAGCTAACTGGCGGGGCGTTTGCTTGGTGGTGCGACGACTGAGAGAGGCCGCGGTTGCTTGGGGTTTTGGTCGAACCATTCTTGTGTCTGTAGGCGTGAAGGTTCCAATACCTGGATAGGTTATTAGTCCAGGCAGGGCAGGTACTGGCAGTGGAGGGATAGCTAGCCTTGCTAGCTTTATACTACTGTGGAAACTCGGATTTTGACGGCCACCGCCCAGTAGCTCCTCGCGGCTGGGTTGGGATGTCTGTTGTAGCTGGCTATTCAAAGTTTATTGGCATATAGAGCGTCCCAAGAAACGTCCTACAGTTGATCGAGTCCTACAACTGTACTCGGTCATGGACGTCTGCACTGCGCGCTCCGAACATTTACGATTTTGCACAATTTATATAATAGTTAGACGCTGATTCGAGGTAACTACGCGCAGTAGAAAGCCGAGAGCCCCGGCATTGTGGCGCCCCGAGCGCAGCGAGGGCGCTACCCCCCCCGGGACACGAGGCTTTCTACCGGCGCGTGGTTACCGAGGAATCAGCGTCTAGAGTGAGCGCTTCACGTTGAGCGCTCTGGCTTTCCTGTTCGTTCGTATGGCGGAGCGCGTCTAACGATGACTGGATGGAGACTGGCTCAGAGCGCCAGAAAATGCAGTGCAAGAAGAGCGAAGCGGCAGAGACACGCGGTAGCGACTCACTCCGCCTTCTTTTTCTGGTTGCGCGCAGGGGGGTCTGCGCGTGCGCGTGGACGACGCGTCAATGTAGATTCAGTTGTTGATCTTGTTGTTTACATGTACATTTTGTTATGTTTTCCTGTTTTATCTGTAGGTTTTGTAGTTTCTGTAGGTTTACTATATAGTAAACCCCGTCGAGGTTTACTACCGGAAATAGTAAACCTCGGCTTTGCAATCTGATTGGTCGATTCGAACCTAGCTCACTCTAAAGGCTATTTTTGACCCATTTTGGCCGCTAAACTTTGTATTGGGCCTATATACTAACCCCTGACCAAAAATTCTTTGAGGCCTCTTCTACAATTATCCGATTGAGCACCGACAAAATTTTGAAGCACGACCAAGGAAAAGGCGTTTTTATGAAGCAAGGTTTCCAAAATTTATTTCCAAATGTACACGTAACATAGGGACGAATAATGTACGAATAAAAGTAGGCGTGTCCGGTTGTTAGCCGGCCGAGATGGGCGGAAATGTAGCTCATTCTGGAGAGTAGTGACTATAGATTAGCTCTCGAAATTGGCATATATTCCAGGATCACTCTGTCTCGAGAAAACCTGCAGGAAAGAAAGGCCTCCATTTGACGTTGGCTCACGCACATTTATTTCTAATTTTACGTGACGTCATACTCGTCATGTCCCCGCAATTTCTGGTATTGGATGACGTTTTATGGTTGCTAGGCTACAAATTGGTTAATTAACGCCTTGACTCTACCCCCCTCTGGCTCCACCCTCAGGGTGCTAGAGTAAACAACTTCGGGGATATCGCCGGTATATTATTATACCGCTTCAGAACCAGGCGTTAACCATACGTAAACAAGTCGTTGTCTGCTGAATCGCTCAGTAGTGCATTAATTTTCTGATGATGAAAGTGATTTTCCTTGCAGTTCTTTTCGCATTATGCTGGAGTTCATCATCATGTGAACAAGGTAGCTAACACATGTTGTGTTCCTTATTATCTATAATATGGTTTATTGTTCCTAGACACCGGGTACTATCTTGCGTTTCCCAGGAATTTTCATTTCACTCAATCCCTGAAGTTGTCCATATCCACTACGGAGTCCGAACCAGTTTATTTCTTTGTTGATACTTTGGATGGCTTTCAGTTCAGGGGCATTGTCCACGATAATGCTACCGTCACTGTTGAACTGCCCCTCTCATTTGAAGTGACAAATAGCACTGTGAGAAACAAAGGAATTAGAATAACAGCTGCCACCACCAAATTAACAGTCCATGGCTTAAGTCATCGTGATCGTACTTCTGGTATGTTTGCGGCACTACCGTGCGTGAAGCAAAACGTTAATAAATATGTTTACTATGGAGTAACTTATAATGAGCCATCACAGCTGCTGTTTGTTGCATGTGAAGATGGTACTCAGATAAAGGTTGGGTCAGAAGTTATCCATTTGAATGAAATGGAAACGTACCTGTACACCAATGGCAGCGATTTGACAGGAGTTAGAGTTGTTTCGAACAAGCCAATATCTTTTTTCTCTGGTCAAATATGCACAAACATCCCAGTAGGTGTCGGGTTCTGTGATTTCATCGTAGAGCAACTTCCCAACACCGCACTCTGGGGTTCTCACTTTCTGACAGCTTCGCTCTATGGGCGGACAGCTCCAGATATTTACACTGTAGTGTCCTGTGCTCCGTCCACCATTGTTGAGATACATTGCTCAAACTCACTTCTAACCCAAGTTTTGTGTGTGTTTGAAAATAACTATGAAACATTTACGTTGTCAAATGATACTTTCTGCACTATAACCTCGAATCACCCAGTGTTGGTCGTTCAGTTTGCATCTGGTCAAGAAGCTGACAATGTTGAAAGCGATCCATTTATGATGATGCTACAACCAATTGAGCAGTATGAAAATGATGTTGCAATTGTGGTTCCATCTAATTTTACAGTTAATGTTGTTGCCATATATGTTAGACCAGAAGAATTTGAACCAGAAAAGGTATCTGTCGATGGATATAGTCAAACAAATGTGAATTGGACAGTCATTCCGTGTGCAGATGGAAATGTTTGTGGATATGTAGCTTATGTCAGTCTTACAGAAGGACAACACAGACTTTCTCACCAGGACGGCCAATGTGGGATGATTGGGGCTTCTGTCTATGGATTCAGCTACCACAATGGATATGGCTACCCAGCAGTCGGGACAGTACATACTCTGTTACAAGGTGGGCATGGAACCTCTGAATTACTTTTCCACCATGTTGTCCTGGGTGTAGTTGACATGCTTTAAAACCCCATGGGTATATTCTTGTATAAAGTATAAGCGCCTAGTATTAGCCCTAGAAATCAAAGGCACCGCATGCAGTGCATGCGCACTAAGACAACTTATTAGTATGCATGCCATGGTGTATGCATGCCATGCATGCCATGGTGTATGGTGTGCTGACTCAGCCATACACTCACATGTGGTGTATGAGCCCTCATACACCATTGCATGCATACTAATAAGTTGTCTTAGTGCGCATTCCTGTGGTAAAAATTGGTTACACTGCACCGACTGGACGGTTTAGTGTATGTCCACTAAACCGTCTCGTGGGCATAGTGTAACCTATTATGTGTAGTCTTGTGTATGAATGTACCACTTTTACCTGCCTTCCTCATAGGATCAGCAGTGTCTCCACGGAATGTTAAGGTTGGTGTTGAAAGTCCCACTGTCCTCACTGTACAATGGGATAGCCTTAGAGTCGACTGTAGTGAGGTCAATGGTGTTATAGTCAAGTACAAAGTGCAGTATGTAGCACAGAACAGTGATGTGGTTCACACCAAAGATCAGGCTGCACGGCAGAATGTTACTAGACCCAAGATGTCACTAACAGGACTGAGTCCGAATACCAACTACACTATTCAAGTGGCTGCTGTGAACGTGGAGGGAGATGTGGGATTGTTAAGTGCACCACTGAGTGTACAGACGGCACAAGGTATGTACGTCATCTTTCCGTAACTCTGCTAATGTAAACTTGTGCTTTTTGGTTTTCCTTTTAAGTGGCAGTATCATCTCCGAGTTCCAGAAACTCTGAAGGCCTTACAATAACTATTGGAGTCGTTTTTTTCCTCGTTGGTGTTCTTGTGGGTGCCTCTGGAATAACTGCTGCAGTCATCATTAGACAAAAGGCCAAGCGACAGGAAAGCTCAAAAGAACCCCATATCATTACAAAACCAAATCAAGTGTATGAGATGACACTGATAAGAAATCCAGGAGCTGCAGTGATGGAAGATCCGGTGTATGCAACAGTTCCCGCGTGCTGAAATTAAAACTTTTTTATACAAAACCAAGTTTTTTTGTCCTTGGTTTTAATTTTCCCATGTATAATCATGAATAATCATTATAGTATTATAATATCCATAGATAAGTATAATATGTGAAATTACTCCAGTTACATAGAGTCCACACATGGTCCATGAGGAAACAAGAAATAACTATTTCCCGAAGAGTCAATGGTGCAGCTGGTGACCTCAGTTGTCCCAGACCCAGTATCGTACACTGTCACAGGCACAACTTCTCCCGGCTCTCCAGACAGGTACACCACGTGAATGTCTCCATTAGAAGTTATGATATCAACGACTCGGGTCTCGGACACGGGCAGTACTTTGTTCAGTTCTCCAAGTAGAGCCCACCCACTAGCCATGATGGGAGACAGGGTCCAGTACTGGAAATCAGTCACGGAACACTCTGGGATGTCTAGAGTTCCGGTGAAGTTCATGGCCTTTACTACGGTGCCGTCTAGTGTGTACGTGTAGGCCAGAGACGGAGGGAAACTTGTTCTCGGCTTCACGTTGGTAGAGGGCGGGAGTTCACTGGCGTGCATGGTGTATGCGGATGACATCGTCCCAGATATGATGTAGTACCATGTGAATGGACCCACCTGAATATTTTATTTGGGAGAAAGAATCTAAATTTAAAAACACAAGTACAGCAGATTTGATGCATGCAACATAGCAGTTGATTCTTATAGCCTCTGTTTGTCCAAGCATGGTATTTTGTATGCAGGCAGTAGGTATGAAGCTTGAAACAATAGCGCAACATTATTGATGTAAATTTTGTCAATAACACCACATTTTTACTTGTTTAGCTCATATGCATACATACCTCAGTGTATGCATATGAGCTAAACAAGTAAACATGTAGTGTTATTAGCTCATGTACATGGCCGAAATAAGATACATACCTCAGTGTATGCAGCCCAGAGCTGGCCATTGGGACCGGACGACTGGAATGCTCTATAGAGGAAGGTAGAATCCAAACTCATGACTGGATGTGTTGGCTTCAGTAGACGACCATCAGACATGCTGTGGGAGGAAAAATAACATTAGACGAATGATGCACAAGTGACTTATTTCTCCCACTACAACTAAGGTGAGTTGCAATAAACACTTGCATAACTACATACTCATCAAAAAAGTGCCTGCTCCTTTGTCCTTGAAAAAGACGTCATTGATATACACTGGCCCCGTGTTCACACTTCATGATTCATGCCCCTTAATCAAACTATAATGACAGTGAGCGTGTACCAAGTGGCCATGATGAGTGTTCTGTTGGCCTTGAGGATGTGGTCGCTGGGGCCCACAGGTCCTCCACTGAGGGCTGCAGCATACGTCTCCAGAGCAGGGGCTGGCTCATTCTCTGTGTTGTGGCACCCCTTCTCAATAACACTCGTATGGAAATTCTGTAAGGCCATGGAGAACCATGACTAACTGTGGGAGACATGTATGTAATATGTTGAAGATTCGAACCCCTACCAGCTGAGTTCCCTGGTAGCTCAGTTGGTAGAGTGCTCGCCTCGACTGCATGGCAGTGTCGTGGGTTCGAATCCCACCCAGCAGCTCTTCTTTTTCAAGGAAAAAAGCTGCCCTGGGTGTTTACGTTTGCTTTGCCTTTCTTTGCCTTGCTATATACCTTGTTACTGACACATGTGTACAAATGATACTAAGTACAATGGAGTTGAGTGTGCATTCGGAGTGGAGAAGACGTAGGTTCATTACATCTTTGAAGGCGGCGAGCCCGAGGGCAGAGGCGAGGATGGTAGTGTCTCCAATCTGCCACTGGGAGTTGCCCGGGGTGTAGTCATCACTGATTCTGCTCTGAGTCACTGCAGAGATCTCCACACTCTGCAGGAGGTGACGTGGCCATGGCATACAGTACCTGGGCCAACAACAACACTCTGTTAGTCACGCACTGAATGAATTTTTCCAGGCAAAAAACTACGAGAAATATGGCTGTGCACATACCCATAAACCGAGTCTACTGTGTACATTGCTGCATGCGCCTGTACCTCTCACGTTTGCTTGCCAAAAATGCTTGTTCTAGAGTAAGTGAAACTGATTGGGCTAGCTGAAATTTGCATGCTGTATGCGCCTGTAATTCACGTTGGCTCTCAAAGGAAAAGATTTTATTTCGAGTAAATCTCTTTGGCTAGCTACATGTGACATACACACACACAGAGTGGACTGACTGGATGGTGAGGCCGTATCTCGTGGCAGCAGCTCCCATCTGTTTCAGCCACATTCGACCCAGTCCAACAGTGTTCTACACAGACAGATGCAGTTATAGTGGAGCAAAAATTAATGTGAAGTGGGTGATCACATATTAAAATAAGTACTAAACCCTCGGCATAGCAGATGCAACACGTGTGTAAAAGACATATCCACCAGAGAATGCTCCCAGCTATACCAGGTTCTCTTGCTATCACACAGGCTAGCTCCTTGGTTATATGTAAGTATAGGAGTGAAAAGTTTGACTCGATAAATGACCCTTCATGAGCTTCCATCGAAGTATATTGTGCACATTGGCTTATGAACTTGCTTTTCATCCCATTTCAAAGACCACCTATTTCTGTCCCTCCCCGATGTGTGTCCAGTGCCCTTCGGTCATTCCCTTCCGACTCCGCCCCAGGTCCCTCCCTTCTAAGAGCTAACCAGGGAAGCAACCCGCTGTCCGACAGCTAGTTGTGGGACTCGTGCCCTGAAGGCTATTACCACCACCGTCAACCTCTTGGCTGCCGGAGGGGCAGTTGTTTACCGTTAGTCTCATGGGGGTCACCATTTCTCAATAAGGTGTGAATACATGTTCCTGGAATATTGCTGTACTGAATGTGAATTATTAGTTCATCGTAATACGTGAATTTGAGAGCTAATGAATTTATGCTGGTCTCTACCATGGATCCTGTTTTTAAAAAGAATATGAGATAACATCTCTGATAAGAATCATAGGTTAGTAAGAAAAATTCCATTTATTCATTTTTGGGCCAAGGTAGGCTATAAAAATCAAGTGCTGTATTGCATGCATCATATCTGCTGCAACTATGGCCCTGAAACGAGCACCAGTGTCGCTATCCAATATTTCTTCACCCAAATCCATCGATGTACCGGGGGACAAGTTGCTGAGTCCTAGTGAGGCAGCTGGCATTCTATTTCAAGCCAGTCCTCGTAACTCGCTGGTCGACCTCACTATCGGGCAAGAGTACGAGTTTGTAGAACCACCGCCACCAGACTTCTACTGTCCGGTAACTTTTGAGTTGCTGGTCGACCCGCAGCAGACTGCGTGTTGCGGCAATCACATTTCATCTCAAGTTGCAGATAGGTTGAAAGCTGAGAGAAAACCATGTCCAGTTTGCAAAGAAGAGATTTTTAATACCGTCACCGACAAGCATTACCGACGACGTGTACTAGACCTGCGAGTGTGTTGTCCCCACGAAGGATGCAACTGGGTTGGTGAAGTACGATATCATAAATCACACGTGGAAGAGTGCCCGAAACGCTCTTGGAGTTGCCAATACTGCGATTATTCGTGCACCCACGATGAAGGTGAAAGTGTCCACTGGCCCGAGTGCAAAATGTTTCCCGAGCCTTGCCCTAACCAATGTGAAGTGCACACTGTGGCACGCAAGAATATCGAGCTGCATCGCACCGTTTGTTCCCTGGAGCCTGTCGCTTGTGGGCTAAGTGAGTACGGCTGTCAAGCCATCTTTCCACGCAAGGACCTTGCGAAACACATGAAGGAAAACGAGGGGCAGCATTTGATTAGCCTTGCAATTCACAACTACAAGCAACTAAAGTCCAACAAGGAGAGCATGGTCGAGCTTCGAAGAAACGTGCAACAACTTCAGCAGTCTGTTCAGAGCGTGCATCAGGAAATCTCAGCCCTGAAGCTCAAGACCGGTCACATCGAGCACCACGTAGCCGGGGGAAGCTGTTTAAGCTGCACCGTTCACTCGTTTCCCAACTTCTCTCAACTGAAACTGAGTGAGAAAGTGTGCGAAAGCCAGCCATTCCGCGTTCAAAACTACCTGTTTAACTTTCGTATTAGGTGCTACAACCCCCCGTTTGATATGGTTGTGGCGTTCTTGGGGTTATTTCCGAGCAGTGATGACGACGATTTGGTCTGGCCAGCAAAAATCTCTTGCCAATTGGAGCAGGTGAATCAGGTGGGGGATACCAGACATAGAAAATATGTTACGAGTTTCATTTGGAACAAAGAAGAACGCGGGACATGGAAGAATATCGATACGTACGAAATGAAGTATACTGAGTTGCAGAATAAAAAATCGGCAGTGAACTATTTGGTTAATGATACACTGGTGTATCGCCTACACCTGGATATCACGCCGTAGCTGAGCTCAAACAAACACAACAGTGCCTCATTGGCACTTGGTTTTCTAGTTCTATTTCACACACTAGATTTGCGTTAGCTGTAAACATTATGAACATGTACAATCTGTCAAACAGCAACATCTCAAACCCATAATCCTAGCAAGAAGACAGTTTTGTACTTCATGTAGTTTTCACAAAAGTAATATTTTGGTGCACTGCGCATGCAGGCTGCCTTTCAGGAAAACGTTGCTTTTTACGTGATTTGGAAAAAGTGTATTCAGCAGCAGATATTATACATGCATGCCGATGGAAATGCCTAGCATCCTTTGGGCAAGCAGAGAAATCTTTTGGGCAAGACCATGATTCCACAGTGACGACAAAAGATGACGTATGTATAGGCTTGCTTCGCTTGTCTACACACTTACATGTGCCTGACTGCACAGACATAGTGCTCTGTGAGTGAAAATTGCAATGTAATTCTAGGACAGAACAATTTTTAAAAACTCACGTAGAGTTTTCCAAGTGCATGAATAAAAGATATAATATGTGTGTGCTCCAAATTATTGCACATAATTGAAGGGGTCAGAGTCAGAGTGGGCCAACCTTCAATATACAACTCTTGCCGTTTTTCCTTCAAATATGTTCTAAATGTCCTTATAGAACAAAAACAGGCAAGAGTTGTATATTGAGGGTTGGCCCACTCTGGCTCTGACCCCTTCAATTATACATATATATACCGAGTCCAAATTTTCAATGGGAGTACGTAGTCAAATAAACGCTCAGGAAATACTAAATGTGTCAGTGGAGGTGAGCTAACCCTGAGAGCCTGGAGTCTTGTGACGGCCACGTCCAGCCAGTCCTGCTCGTAGACCAGGAGGTTCCAGGTCTCCTTGGAGGAGGAGAAGAGGAAGTCCCAGAACTCCTCCTCCACTGGGAGAGAGGCTTCACTCTCCACTATGAACTCAAACTTCCCTCCATTCTGTACATGAGAGAGCGAGCACCTTACTACAAAATATGAAAAAACAAAACCGAGTAGTAGCAAGGGATACTTCACTTATGATTGGACTTGACCTGGTAAACTGTTGACCACAATGCTCTCACCTCCACAAACATACTTTATAACCAGGGACAGTGTGTTTCAGTCAGTGACATTAAGGACACTTTTGTTAATCATGTGTGATACAGGTTCTATCCTGCTGTTTGAGAGCTTTAGGCTATACTCAGTTGATGAAGTGCAAACCACACATACCTGTTTGGCATAGTCAGTTACAGGAGACCTGCATAGCATAAAAGCCATTGACATAATTACATATTTGTCAACACATGAGCCATAGACAGCCACACCAAAATGTAACCTACTATAATTATTATGTACATTGACGAGAGTGTAAACCTACCACCAGCGATTGTGAGCTTCAATAGGCCAGCCAGTCTTCTTGGCCACGGCCTCAATTCCATTGGGGAAGATGCTGGGCTTGGCTGTCCAGTTCTTCACTCCGTTCTCCGGACCCTTGTAGTACCACCACGAGTCAATCTGGACAATCAGGTACATCAAACTAGAACCAACGATACATATTTTTTGCAAGTGAACGGTGGAGTCATCATACACACGCAGCACAAACGACTGTGGATATCAATTACGAGATGTAGAACACATATAATATAACGGTATGTGTGACAGCACAGCCAGTGGTATGGAGATAATCACACACTGAGCAGGGAAGGCTCAAAGTCTGCAATACAGCTAGGTATAGCTCACACAAAGATCGTGCATTCAGAAGGCTCTAATCACTCCCCAACAAACAAAGTAAGAATGCATAAGCAATTATTGTAGCATTATACACACACACACATTGAAGCACTTATAGGGAACTTGCATGATTAATCAATAGTCATGGATGAAAACACACCTCCACACTTGGTTTATTACCTGCAGATATCTGAAGGGGATATTTGCAGTTTGAGCATCGGCATACACGGCATCCAGGACCTCCTCATAGTTGGAGTAGTTACCAGTGTCATAGTAGTAGCAGGCACCGTTGTCTGTCCAATACCTGCATGAGATCCAGCCATGATTATGACATGATGATTGGGAAGACACTCTACTCAGAGCCATATAAACAAACAGGGAGTTTTTTCATAATAAGAGAATAAGTTTGTTAAAACATAATTTTTTTTATGCACCAGGTAGCTACACTAATTAGTACTCTAGTGAGGCTACAAAAAATGAAAAAGTGTTGTAAAGACCATGCACATGAGTGGAAAAACAACAACATAATAGTGTCATACACAGATCCCGGGGGCATGTAGAGTAACGCACAGTGGAGCTGACCCGAGATAGTTGATGGTGAAGTCGCTCTTCCTGTAGCTCTCGTCCTTCTTGTAAAAAGTCTTGAGAAAGTTTCCAAACTGCATCATACTGTCTGTCACGTTGTTCCCAGCAACTAGAACCATACTACAAACGTAGCCTGCCGGTATCTGTGAAAATTTAAAATATTGTTTGCCCATGCCCCCTAGAGAATGTGGCAGTACATAGGGTCATAATTTAGAAATGTTACTAAAGCAAAGCTAGAACTAAATGAAAGGCACTGAAGTGCTAACCCTCGGCGCAGTGGGCTGATTAATTTGTATACACATGCGTACATATACACACTACTACCTGTCATCATACATCAATAGGTTAGCACTTGCTCACCCTGTGCACATTCTGATGTCTGAATAGTGTGGGGGAGGAGCAGGATATTAACATTTTCTTACTCGGGCAGGCTGTGCCTTAGCAGGTCACCTGCTACAGAGCCTTGTCCCATGCAAGGTATAGATGCAGATGACATACACGCTTATAATACCGTACGCATGCGCGGCACTGTTAATTGGTGGGCTGGTCCAATTTTACAGTTTTGCTGACTCGTGGTCGCTTACCAGCTCACTGAGAGTCGGTCACAGGCTTGCTACACTACTAGATAGCACGCGGGAGTCGATACTCGTCCTGCGTTGCAACTTCTGGTGCCTCGAAGGTACGCAGAGCTGGGCGAGGTACGTAAGCCAGTGCTAATTTGCATATTAGCTCCTTGACTTGCTTTTCACGCCATAACTTTCTAACGCAGCATTTTTACCGAAATCGCTATTTTTAAAATAAAGCCAGTGTGGCACTGAACCCGTTGGTATCGCTTTTTGGGCGTCTTGTTGCGCGTAGCGGGAGAAAACGTGGTAACAGACAGACGGACAGACGGACGGACGGACGGAATGACAACCAAGTACTATAACCCTCGCTGCGCATGCGCGCCGAGGGTTAACAATAGGACCCAGCGCAAGAAGGCAATCACGTTTCCGTTTTCAGAAAATATTTAGCCACAGCCACATTCCCTTAAACCTGACCGACCAACCTCAGTGATAGAGCTGAGTGGTCCAAATGCCAAGGTCTTTTCTCCAGTGGTGGTATTGTTGAAGGTTGCCTGATTGGCAGACATGAAGTCGGAGGCTGGGGCCATGACCACGGCGTTCTCCATGACAGAGTCGTAGACCACCAGGGGTAACCCTCCGTCTATGTTACTGTATATGGGAACGTCTGGAGACCACCTGTCTATCTTCATGAAACGAGCCACTGTAAAAAAGTTTACCAAAAAGTGCCAGTCTGTGCATAGATTATTACACACATACCAAAAATAATGTATCATTAATTTTGTATCACGAAGAGGCAAGTTGAGGGGGCACAGAAATTTTGAGGTTTTCTATCGAAGGTGTAGTTGTACATTGCATGCCTGCAGGGGAGGGGGACAAAAAATCCCTAGCTTGCTTTACAACGGCATACAATTACTGTGACCTACACACCAACACTTTTGTGGATCCATAACTCACTGTTTCCAGACCAGGTAACGTAGCCCCGATCTACGGGGCCCTCCTCGATCACAAAGGAGGGAAACGTGGAGAGAGTGCTGTTGACATTGCTGCTGGTGTTGGTGGCCTTGTCATTGAACACCAAGACGAACAGCACCGCAGGCATTTGCTCGAACACGCTGACCGTAGTCGTGAGAGTTAGGCTGGAAGCACCTTTGGCCTGCCACTCGTAGTAGTAGCTCGTGAACGGACCAACGTTAATGACTCCCTCGCTCTGACCGCTGCCGGTCAACTCTAGCGAGCCGTCTTCTTGGGACCACCACCGACCCAGGTCACGGACCCCCACCGAACCGCTCCTGAACCACTGTTTCCCTCCTACCGATATGGAGAAACTGCCGTTGGAGAACGCCTCCACATTGAGGTTTCCCACGGCGAGGCTGACTTGAAAAAGTATTGTACAGAGGAGCACAGACAACAGCCCTAGGTTGTCGGCCATAATCGATGATCTTTAGCGCTATAAGCTGGTCGGCTAGCTAGAGCTCAGCTAGATAGAGCCTATATAGAGCCTAGCCGCATCTAGCGATCACATGACCGCGGCAGCCCCGCCCCTTCAGCCGCGCAAAAGCGCCGTCCTTGCGCCGCCCGCGCTCTCTCGTTCGTGCATCAATGCAAGGCTGCGGATCGACTGCGAAAGAGGACAAAACCTGCGTGGGAGGTTGTCCACTGAGCTATGTCTATCGCTAGCAATCTCTTATGGGAAATTGACTCGGCGGTTGAATGCGTGTAGCCTGCCAGGCCTCAGTTTTGTGAGGTATAAAAGCTTGCACTTCGAACTGTAGATAATGGGGAGAATTCTGCATAGAGAGGAAGAGGCTATACGCAGTTGCTTATACACAGCAATTATATATTACAGTGTTTCACAGGTATTACATTATAGCACAGTTGCCATTTTTACTGCAGCTAGCTGGAGATGTGTGAACAGGATAACGGAATTTATCTTAACACATGAGCATTCCCATAACCAAGAACATGGTTGAAGGTCAAGGTCGATAAAATATGCCCTATCCACAGGCTCTTTGCGGATAGGAGTCGTAGTTTGGAACCGAATGCGTACTGGGTTCTGCTAACACAAGTCGATCCTCAGGAATCCATGGCTACTCCAAGGAATCACACAAGTCGATCCTCATGAATCCATACTTCAAGGAATCTTCCACTCAAACTGGTATCCCATCAACCCCTCCGTAGCTGGCACGAAGGAGCTGGACTCCCGAGAAGGAACCCTGCAATGTGAACATCTCGACAGGTCTGAATCCAGTTCTTGAGAATAATTATTGATATGTGGATATCTTCAGAAGATAATACGGACTCAGTATGGATTCTAAAATACGTATTCCTTTGCTCGTTTGGTAGAGGAAGAGAGGCCATGTGTTAGTTCATAAATTTGAGGACTTCTTCAAAAGCATGCATCGTCCCTGAGACCAATGATTTCCTTAAAAGAAGGTCTTCTCACGATCATTGTTAAGATCATCGGTCATCATCATCATCATCACAGCTCACAAAAATAAGCAGTCAAAAATCATTTTCGGCATATCATAATTACTGACATTCTGGACTTTGACACAACCAAACCACAATTGTTCTAACCCACCATACTACAAACTATAGCTTCCACCCCCCAAAAGAACCAGGTGGTCATATTGTTTGTGTGCAGTAGCCTGCAGAATGCGGAAGTTCAAGAACTACACGTTGTAGGGTCGTGTAAACTCGGCTTCAAGAGTGGTGCACGTGAAAACTCTCTCTCCGTCTCCTACTTTCTGTCTCTCTCGAAAATAATCAAGCATCATTTAGCTAATAAGAATATTTTGTTTCACAAAACTCCTAACAAACTGCACATTGTGTGGGTCACCATGTTCAGTAAAAACAAACTACACTTCATATGCCTCCTCCCCTCCCCCTCCCCCCACCACCACCAGCCTAGAGCTGGTATTGCAGGGTTCTGGCAGAAAGTATGCTACTCCAATACACATGCAAACAGAAACCTGGGAAAGCAAGACAAAACAATACGGTACAGCAAGCAGTGGGCTGTGTACGATTTCTCTCGGCATTTATATGGTTCAGTGTGTGCAGCCAGGGCTGAGCAGATGCCTTATGTTCAGTGGCCATAAGATTGTAGCATAAGGAGCATATCTATGCACACTTGTTGTAAGTTGTAGTTGATTATGTTTGTGGTTGAGTAAGCGTACATAACCAGGGCTGAGCAGATGCTAGTCTCAGATAGTGCAAGGGTCTATCTTGTCACAGTTGGAGCTCTCACTTATATGGAATGCGCATTTTAGCAAGGGCTGGGCAGATGCCTTAGGTCCAGTATTTAAAACACACTACAAATTTCATTCATTTGCTCTCTACTAAGTGCTTAGCTAGCTACAAAGCAAATTCCAATCTCCAAAGGAACTTGCACACATTTCGTCTAAGAATTTTAATAGCACCAGCCGGCTAAGAAGCAACTTCTATTTTTGCCAACACTTACAACCCATGCCGCAATGCGCGCAGCCTTCGGAAAGCGTCCCAGCGTGACTGTATAAATAACGCTCCGCCGCGCATGTGACGCTCTAAACAGGATATTTGTAGAAGTGAAGCACTTTTTTCAACTCCACGTCGCTGCAAAACTGCTAGCTATCATGTCGACGAAAGGTGCGCCATCTAAACGTAGTCCCGAGTTCAACTTTGACACTAAAGCTCTCATCCAAGAGGGAGCCACACCAAACTGGACTCGCGACTTTCCCGTCGTAGGCGAAGGCACACTTATTTTCTCCATCCAGCGCAGCACGCCGTTCTCGATCGTCGTTCGACCAAAATTAGACCCGGGCGAGCCTGGAGCCAACCAGTGGATCGCTCTTGAGGTTCACAGGGTATCAGCCAATTTCAAAATAGGCCTCGAAGATCATTATAAGCAGCTCAAGCAGGTAGAGGGGATCGTAAATTTGGAGCAGGTCGGCTACGAACCAGGGAAGAAAATCTCCTACTGGTTCAGCTACGACCGTGATCTGCTGACGCTCAAGTACGGCAAAGGATACCGCATGGAGCAAACTACCCTGATGGAGTTCAACTTTCTCACAGGAGACAAGAAGATAGACGAAAAGACGAGGGAAAGTCTGAAGTATCTGTTTAGCCCGACAATCCGCAGGCGCATCGAGCAGTACGATCTCGAGGGACGCAAGGAAATGATTCAGCGCTATGCGGCGCGCTTTCGAGACGTCGGTTTTAAAGGGCAATCTCTTCAGCAAATGTTCCCCAACCTCAAGGCCGAAGCGATAGGTGTGAAATCCGAGTCTCTAGCAAAGTCAATCATCGACATCGAGCACCAGGTTAACTTCGACAAGGAACCTTTCGTGTGCAACTGGTCTGCCTTCGTCCTAGACAGCTCAAAGGTGAACCTATTCGAACTGGACGACAACAAGTACACCTTTTCTGCCAGCCTGCCTCCCGCCTGTCAGGAGCTTTACTTCAATGTCACTGCACCAAACGTGAACCTGGACTGGTCTCCAGAGCCTACCAAGTACAGGCTCTCCGACGCCATCCGTTACAGTCTTCAAGGGCCAAATGGCAAACTGTACAAGACACTGAAGTCCAAGACGGGCGAGTTCGGAGATTTCAGCGAAACATACCTGCGCGTCACACTCGGGAGCAACCGCGGCAGCTCCCCAGGCATCCCGTATGTTCTAGAGATATGGCCGATGAACCACGGTAGTCCCATCCACAACCACGGCAATGCATACGCCGTCATCCATGTTCTGCACGGTGGGTTGACGATAAAAGTCTTCAACAAGCACGTAGATCGCCCCAAAGCTCCACCGTTGATGAAGTTCGACGTCAAGGCCGGCGACACAACTTGGATTTCTCCCAACTGGTTCCAGACACACCAGTTGTGGAATAGCACCGAGGACTATTGCGCCACAGTCCAGTGCTATCAATACGGAGTCAACGACCTTACACACTGGCCGTATTTCGACTACGTCGCCAGTACCAAGGTGATCGACGAGTTCCTCCCTGACAGCGATTACACGTTTCATGAAATGCGAGACACGGTGCTGAAGGAGTTTACCGAGTTCATGGACCACGCTCCGACTGTGAATTAGACTGATGCATGGCTAGCTAGACTGATTGTTGTAGTTGATTAGCATTTTACGGGTAACGTAGCGTCAGTGTTTTTTTGTGCTAAAGTTTTACAAGTAACAGTGCAAGCGCGTCAGTGTCGACATAATATCTATATCTACAGCGGTGTCTGAAAACCGAACAAATGTGGAGTCATCCTGTGCAAGGCCTCTGTAAGCGACCAATAATCGGTCAGCTGATGCTCGTTGAATTGCGCCCGCAAGCCTGTGCGCATGCGCTTTCATAAGTAAGGGGGGAAAGAAGTCTCGTCTGCGTCCGAAACGTCACGCGCGTATATACGCCAATGTGTAATGACGGAGTTCACTAGAGGTGTTGACAGAATTACGAGGGAAGGGAAGGAGGAGCGGCGGAGCAGATGGCTCCAGGGCGACTTGGAGAGCTGGGGCCTGAGCAACGTGACTCTGCGTCCCTACCAGCTGGAGGGCGTGTCGTGGGTCGCGGGGTGCCTGGACCGCGGCCACGGCTGCATTCTGGGGGACGAGATGGGTCTGGGGAAGACAGTGCAGGTAGCTACATAGTCCAGCTACACATGTAGTATAAACGAGACAAGAGCCCCACCCCTGCCCAGTTCATTATTAATTGGCTACTGTAAGCTAGTATGCTACCATTGATGCAGTCTATATCACTACTGCTGTACCTGAGTGGTTGCAAGAGGAAGTGTGGTCCCTACCTCGTCCTCTGTCCTCTCTCAGTCCTCCACAACTGGCAGTCTGAACTGACCAGGTCAGGTTTCAAAATAGCACAAACTATCGAGTGCGTGGACACACCCACAGGTTTGCCCCAGGGCTGAATGTGCTGAGCTACTCTGGAGGCAAAGAGGAGCGCGAGGCACAGAGAGAGAGTGTTCTAGCACACCTAACTCACCAGGTGCTGTTTCCTATATCATAGCCAGTACTCAGTGTTTTTGTTCAACTCCAGCATTCAAAGAGACCAGTTCCATTTCAAGTGATGCTGGCTCATTATGAGGCAAGTCACACATCAATAGATATTTTATGCAGTGTCTTTCATCCGTGATGTGCTGTAGGTTGTGATTCGAGACAACACTTTCCTACAGAAGTAAGCACACGCCACTGTTTACACTACTGCACTTGTGGACTGCCAATGTGTGTGTGTGTGTGTGTGTGCGTCCAGGCTGCCGTGGCAGTGTCTGATAGTGGACGAGGGCCACAGATTAAAGAACTCGTCCTCTGTGCTCTACAGACAACTGAAAGAGGTGGGACTACACTATTATATTGCTGATGACTCAACGCATGGCCCACAGCTCCGAGTTCCGTTCAGTCTCCTACTGACTGGGACTCCAGTACAGAACAATCTCACAGAGCTCTACTCCCTCCTGTCGTTTGTGGCTCCTGACGTGTTCCCCGAGTCCAGACTAGAGGCCTTTGTTCAGCACTATAATGATGTCACTGGTTAGTCAATAAAGTAAAGGCTACGGGTATTAAATGTCAGGCACTGTCTGCACACACCAGATTGTTGGATAGAAAATTATTTTCCACATCCAACTTGTATCAACATCTTAGGTGTACCCTGGAATGTGCTAAACACCAGCACTGCCTAATTCTCTACTGTCCATCCAACAAGGGTGCAGTGATTACGGTCCTGGTGTATTATTGTACAGATCAGTCAGTGGCCTCTGCGCTGCACTCAGTGGTGGAGCCATTCCTGCTGCGTCGGGTCAAGTCAGAGGTGATGGAGGACCTCCCAGCCAAGACCGAGGTGGTCCTCTACACCGGACTCTCCTCCATGCAGAAGAACTACTACAAGGCCATTCTCACCAAAGACCTCAGTACGTGATTTCCTAGCTGTGTGTGTATGTGTATAGGTATATACAGTAAATGCTAAATCAGCTGCATGATGGTGGAGAAAAAGAGGCAGAACTTTGGACACCTGTTTCGGGCTTTTAGCAGAGTATTCTGCACTCCTCTTCCTCAAAATTACATGCTACTAATATTATGCATACATACATACGTACATATGTAGCATAGCACTTGTTGTTCTGAACTAAAGCCCCAAGGGTTTGCAACTATCACGTGGGGTGTGCTAATCTTTGGTTGCAGGTGCATTTGGTGAGGGAGGCAGTAAGACGAGGCTAATGAACATCCTGACACAGCTCCGTAAGTGTGTCAACCATCCCTACCTCTTTGATGGGGCTGAACCTGAGACGTTCCAACTAGGAGAACACCTCGTGACCACCAGTGGTGAGCGAGGTTATACACCACTACAGCTCTCCATCAGTGTTTGTCTGATTGTTTTGTACAGTTTAATATTGATGCTATGGATGCTTACACATACTGTTTTCCGTGCAGGGAAGCTGTATGTGATTGACAAACTCTTGAACCATCTAAAACAAAGGTGACCACTTGTGCACTCTTCCATATGACTCTGTGTGTGGCATGCTGTGAGTGTGTAGTGATAGATTATGCCTGAATGTGTGCATGTATGTGCTGCTAGTTCATAAACGTACGTAGCTCCTAGTTCAGACTTCTGTATAACTTCACAAGAGAGGGAAAGGTAGTTCCCCCTGATGTCCATTCCGAGGCATAAAATGAAGACGCCTCTAGGTTTCGAATTGATGAAAAACAGCAGGTCCCCAAGGGATATAATTACTTCAAATCTTCAGCATGAATTTATAGTTCATAGCATATAGCATGTAAAGTTCAGTTGGCTACTCGTGCATGGTTGTGCTTTTCTTCTGCCACCACACCAAGGTCCGTTTGCAAGCTCCTAAGGTGGCCAGGTCCAGACTCTGTGTAGCACTAGGTTTCACTGCCATCTTCCTCAGTGTAGTGGTGACTTACAGTGCAGTGTAACCTGCAGGCCAAGCAAACATGGCTGTTCAATGGAGGTTGTCTTTGAGTAAAAGTCTGCGCACGATGATTAGCGATACCTTTGTATGTGCATGCGTCCAGCTGTAACTCCTCCCCGACACACGAGTAGGTCTGCAAACTTTCTCGCTACTGTGCCTCTCTATAATTGCTCGTTTCTCAGGGGTCACCGTGTCCTGATGTTCTCTCAGATGACACGAATGTTGGATATCATACAGGACTACCTGGGATACAGAGGTATATAGCTAAACTTTCAGTCTAGTCTTACATATGTGGTGTATATACGTATGTAATGATACATAATAAATCTAAGACAGTTACTGAATGGTCGTTTGCCATTACCACCATGGCATTTGACATTCATGTCATGTCGTAAACACAGTCATGCAACACTTAGGCTTATAGATTCATAACCGCTTCATGAGCCTTCGCAAGTGTGTACATACATAGATGGTCGCTCAGTACCCTCTCCCTGCTAAATGTAGGCTACTCGTATGAGAGACTGGATGGCTCGGTGAGGGGGGAGGAGAGATTTCTGGCAGTGAGGAACTTCTCCGAGGACGAACAGACGTTTGTCTTCCTCCTGAGCACCCGGGCGGGCGGTCAGGGGCTGAACCTGGTCGGAGCTGACACGGTCGTCATTGTGGACTCTGACTTCAACCCTCAGAATGACCTCCAGGCAGCAGCAAGGGCCCATCGCATCGGCCAGACCAGGTACGTACGACTAAATATTGCTGGTGATTAAGGTTGGCCTTTCAAGGCAGTAGCAGGAAAGAGATTGTATTACTGTACATGGACATGTAAAATGGGTGTTACGGTGCTATACTGTATATGAACTTCTGCCGTCATTATTTACGATACAAAAGTATGCAGTTCCTTGATTGAGTATAGAATCACCCTGTAGGCCAGTGAAAGTGATTCGACTGGTGACGAGGCATTCGGTGGAAGAAATGGTTCTAAAAAGAGCCATGGCCAAACTACAGATGACGTCTACTGTCATTGAAGGAGGCCAGGTCTATAAGGAGAAACTTGTATTTCTGATGTGTATATACGTACCTCTATGCTCTGTTGTGTCTGGTATAGTTCACACATGGCACAGTGTCGTCGTCATCAGTGGCGACTGACTCGGCCCGGCTCTCAGACATCCTCAAGTTTGGTCTGGACACTCTCCTGGGCTCTGAGGAGAGGTGAGTCTCTCATAGCCTCGCCCCCAGGCTCCCCCTCCACACATTACTGTAGTCAACTTCGGGGCATTTGTTAAGACTACTACTACATGTAGAAGTATGGTTAAGTACATAATGTAGTTGCACTAGTATACGTCCACGCATATCTTAGGCTGCTTTTTTGGCCGTACTAATGCCTTTCTCCCATTTCTCAGCTCAATTGTGGATGAAGATTTTGAGCGGTAGGTCAAACATGGTTATTTGGGACACCTGATCACATGTGATGTGATGGTTGCAGTATTCTAGGTCGTCAGTGAGGGAGGTGAGTGGGTCTCTGAGACTGGGAGAGGTAGCCCCTGAGCCTGAAGATGGTGCAGAAGAGGGTGAGTGGTTCATTCCTCACTATTTCACTGACCGTATCCTATGGTGTTTGCTCTATACATAGCTGGTCCTGATACTATGTATGTGTATGAAGGGAAGGATTACTCCAAAGTCAGTGAATCAGACAAAAAGACTTTTGACCAACTCTTGGCTGGTAAGCATCTACATACGTAATGCTGTATGATCACAACTAGCCTTGTTTCCAGTTTTTCATGTTTCCAGTTTTCACTACTTAACCCCATATGTACGGAATTCTTCACACGTGAAGTCAGATTCTCATGTTCTTGCCTATAGAGCAGGTTGTCATGGGTTTGATCCTTGCCCAGAGCAGTTCTTTTTCAAGGTTATCCTTGCTTTCAATGAATATCTATTCTTTATGTTGTACGATGTGACTGATAATTCCAGAGAAATTGCGACTGTCTGAGTCTGCCATAGGAGAGAGAGCTCTCCGTAGCAGTGGGGGTGGTGGTAATGAGACTGGGGCCAGGGGAGGAGCCCTGGCTGCTGGTCTGACACTGCCCGAGGGGAGGAAGAGACGACAGTTATCTGATGAGGAACTAGAAGTCAGGAGGAAGAAGGTGTGCTTATCTGGTACTGGAAAATTTTCCATCTGCTTGTGTATGGATGACTACTTGTGATGCTCTGCTTGTATTGTTTTCAGTGTGTATTGCCTATGATTACACGTGCTGCTCCATCAACACTTGGTGCAATATATGTACTGAATTCCCTTTGCCTTGCTACCTCTTGTGTGTACATATGTACATACAAGTATTGGTTGGTATGTGATTGCTCTATATAGAGAGCTGAGCTGAAGGCAAAGAGAGCGAAACTTAGAGAAGAACAGGAGCAGAGGAAGCTGGAAGAGAAGAGGAAAAAGAGGTTATTTACTGTGTTTGTAGTGTTTGTCATGAGATGCACTCTGTGTGACCTCAGGGAGGAGTTTTGGAGACGAAATGGGTACACTTCCCAGAACTGTCCTCTGGAGGGTAGTAGCGAGGAAGAAGAGGAGGAGGGGGAGGAGGAGGAGGAGGAGGAAGAACGACAGATCAACTATGTTGTTGGAGATGTGACTCAACCTCAAAACACTGGCAGCAGTGATGCCATTATTATTCACTGTGTCGGTGAGTGTTCACTCGTCTTGTTCACACATGATAGGTTTAAACCAAACTGTGAACGAAGTAGTCACTATTCATGGGTGGGTGGGGTATGGTCACTATGTGAATTACAGTGTACACTGAACCATTTTATGTGAATAGTATTGTTGCTCCAAATTGGTGCATCAAAGTGTGTGTGGAATCAGTTACTGTTTTGTGCAGATGACTCTGGGAGGTGGGGTAGAGGTGGTCTGTTCTCAGCCCTCTCTGCTCGCTCCCCACAGCCACAGGTACACTATGAGCTGGCCGGCCAAATGAAAGGTTAGTGCACAATTTGTGTTTCTTATAGTGTCTAGTTTACCAAATGATATCATGCACGTAAAGCTTGTGCTTATGCCTGTGACGTCGTGGGCTTCTGTAGTGTACAACAACTTGAGTGAGACATCTGGCTAGGTACACACCTAATGTACTTACAGACCTACACCTGGGAGATGCTCACATTGTTCCAGTGGATGATGTCATGTCACGACCAAGTGGAGCAGATATGGTGAGTTTTAATAACCCCTTGTGGTCTTTTGGGACAGAATTTCTTACTTGGTTAGAATTCTGCTCCTCCTCCATTAATCTGTATACTAAAACCTCTTGTTAACTAACTATGGCTACAGGTGGCTCTGATAGTGGCCCAGGTGAGGGAAGCAGGAGGGAGACTGTCAGGGATCAGACTCTCTGCTCTCACCACTGGCCTGCAGAGAGTGGCCCGACTGGCCCTCAGGAGGAAAGGTCCCTCACTATTATCATGACCAACTATGTATAAGCCTCATAACCAGGCCCTCTCTCTCTGCGCTAACAATTTTGTATGAACTCAAGAGAATAGCAAAGAGAAGGGCCTATGTAACGAAAAGCACTAAAGTGCAAACCCTCGGCGAACTGCGCGTCTGCGGTATATACCGCTAATGGATGGGCTGGGCCTATTAGTATGCGTTTACCCGTGGTCTCCCGCTATATAGTAGCTCGCGGAGAGTCTGACACGGATTAGCTACGGTAGTAGATAGCATACCGGAGTCGACAAATGCCCTTCGCTGTGGCTTCTTGTGCCTCCAAGGTACACAGAGCAAGCGGATCAGGTCGATGTGAGCCAGCATACAGCGTTTGTCTAATATAAGCATGCGCACAGGTTATTGATGGGTTGGGCCACGCAACGCGTCAGCGACCGTACCAGTTTGTCGCTATCGAACGCAGTCGTTTCAGGAAAATCGCCACATTACTATCCATCTCCTCGTCGTTCACAACCCGTTGGTGCCACTCATTGGCCGCCTCGTAGCCTGTAGTGATAGAACACACGGACAGACGGACAGACAGACAGAACGACTACTGTAACCCTCGCTGCGCATGCGCGCCGAGGGTTAATTACACCAATGTGGTAGATGCATATACTAGAAGATTAATGCTTTTTTAGCGAAAGCAAGCAGCATCTTGTTTTCAGAAATGACTTTCAACTGTTCGTGCGTATTTAGAATCACGTACAGATATTGTGCATATGATATACAAGCCAGTGTGCAGAAAATTTCTCACACGATGCATGGATCACAAACAACTTTGCATACTTTGCCCAAAATGATCATTGAACTCATCCAAGTTTGCACAGTAATACGCAAGCCCAATTCATTGCATTTCCAATATTGCATTGTGCACAAGCCTTAAATTCTTAGTATAGAGTATAGCCATAGGTGTGCCATGACAGCACTTACAAACGTTATTTTAATGCTTCTGTCTGCAAAACACTATGATACACAATATTGACAAGTCCAGCTTTAATGGATAATACTCCAAATTGTTCAACGTCTTATGGAGACCTACAGTCAAGGTACGACTAAATACTAATTTTTAATCCTGAAACATTGCTTCTCCAGCCCTAGACCCATAATAGCTGCCCACCATACTCCCCACAAAAGTTCCTACTCCCGGTAAAATCATGGACCCAATTGCAGCTCCAACAGCAGTACCAGCTATTGAACCACCTGTAGAGCTAATATCGTTTACAACTTGCTCTCGGAATTCTTCATCTTTGATCTGTCCACTTTTCAATTGCCAGGATGACCAACCCAGCTTGAAAACAAGGATAACAGATTCAATAGCAGCACTTGCTGCTAGAGTTCCTTTTACACCGTCTTTCGCCCTTTGTGCCACCTTACCAAGAGTTGTAACTGACTTCACGTTTGTGAGTGCTTTGGCGCTCGTGTGTGCAATTTGCCTTTCCATTCCAAATGTAGTGATTCTCGCTGCTGAAGTTTGTGCTAGTCTGTACTGTGACCCTTGCACCTTCTTTCACAATTTTTTCTCCTGTTGTTACTCCAGCACGGATAGTAAAACCTGAAATAGTCTGCTCTGTTCCCTTTTGAACAATTTTAGTTACTGATCCGACTGCAACCTTTTGTGTCACCTTTTCAAACGTTTGTTTGGTTCCTTCATCAATAGCCTTCATTGTTGTTGTCTTTGCAACCTGTAGATAAACATGTAGGAAGGTTTTTGTGCTCTCTTCTGTCAATTTTTCAGTTGTTTTCTTCCCAAATTCTTTAGCCAGCATAATGTTTTTCAGGAATAACAGTATTTGTGAATGCTCATTTTTCTTCTTTTTACCGCCAGCTGTATTTTCTTTCATCTCAGGCTGATCAGGTTTTTGTGGTGGAGCATTATCACTTGCGGCTTCTTTGTGACATACTTGTTTGCCCCCAATATCTTCGCTGTTTGCCTCGTTTTCTCTCTTTTCACGCTCAGGGACTTTTTCTGGTGAAGTTTTTCACGTACAGCAATTGCAGCTTCCTCCTTTCGTATACCCACAATATCTTCGCTTTTTGTTTTATAATACATATCAACACACCAGGTGGCAAAGAACGCCCCTTTCTTTGTTGTTGATGTTTTCAAGCTGACAGGGACACGAACTTTCTGGATGTCCTTCAGAAAATTAGGAACTAGTTTACTGTCAAACGTGCCTTTCAGAGCAAATGGTGTGAAGTATTCCTTTCCGTCCTGCATAATGTCCTGCGCCCAGAGCTCAACTTCCTTCTGATCAATAGGTGTAAAAGTGGAGTTCGACAACACATCCTCAAACCATTTATCTCTCAGACTATCATCAGGTTGTTGGACCACTGCTCCAGGAGCAAAAACCGTCGCATTAGTTGAACAGATTACCTTCTCGGTGCCAGTATCAAAGCTGCCAATTATGGCATATGTCAGCCATCCGAATGAGGATATTACTAAGATATCATTGCCCTTAACTGACTCGGAATCAATCAAAATGGGATCAGACGAAACAAACGTAGGGACAAGCAGCAATACCAACAGATGCGGCCAGTCTATAGTATAATCTCGCCTGTTCGCAGCATACTTAGTCACATCTGATGATCGAGTCATAATTCTTCCTAGCCCGCACTCACTGAGGATAGAGAAAAAAACTGTGCGCACACAAAGACACCGACTCTGTAAATACGGGGCACTCCCAGGGAATTTCCCCAGCAGGGTGGAACGTTCAATGCGGTTGTTTACAGCGCGGTAAGCGCTGGCCGGCCCCTCTTAGCAGTGTGCATGTGGTCGTCGCCACGTATAATAATACACGTATATATCGACGCAGTGCGTGCACGTTCCACCACCCACCTTTCAGCCGCGCCGGGCGATAAAGTGTTTGTCGGGCGATAAACGCAACTTCATGGGGCGCGATAACTAACTTGCGATAACTCTCTGGGGGCGTTAACTTTCTTCGGGCGCGATAACTCTCATGGGGCGCGATAACTTATGGTGCGCCAAGTGGGAAAAAACTCGTATAGTGCACGCACGCTTTAGCTTACGCGCTAACGATATATCCGCCTTAGCTTACGCGATAACGCGCCTTAGCCATGCTGTCTAACCGCTTTATTTCCGTGTTAAGTGCACCGTGCTAAAGCGATTTGCTGGCTATGGTGCGCCAAATGGGAAAAAACTCGTTAGTGCACGCACGCTTTAGCTTACGCGCTAACGCGATAAAGCCGCCTTAGCTTACGCGCTAACGCGATAAAGCCGCCTTAGCCATGCGCTTTATTTCCGTGCTAAGTGCACCGTGCTAAAGCGATTTGCTGGCTAGTATGCGCTTTAGCTAAAACGTTTTTTTTTCAACGCGTCTTAACATCGCATTGCCCATCGCGCATCAATGCTCCATTCCCAACGTGCAATTCA